ATATAATATATATATACCTCTGATACTGGCGTAAATCTTGAATGTGTGAAGAATGGAGGGTGGGGGAATTTCCCGGCGTTGTTAGTTTAGGGTTGCCTCCTTTGCTCGCCCGGGGCCTAAGCGGTTGCTCTTGTCGCAGTGTTACGTCACCAGTTGCTGCTCTTCGGCAGGCGGGGGCGGCGTTTCCGAAAGCAGGCGTCCTTTGCTGTACAAAGCTGTTTTGCTAGTCTTGTGCCCAGCCAGCCACGGGGTAGCCAGGTAGCCAAGGTCTTCGGTGCACACTTCTGGACTTTTTGACAAGGGGGAAAGTTGTGGGTGGCTAGAGCTGTGCTGCAACACCAATTCCAGCTGGAATGTACAGCCCTACAGCATGGCCAACCCCTCACCTCTTGCGGACCCCGATTCGCGGCTCCCAGTCAACTGTTGCCTGCGGGGTTACTCGTCCCTTTACAACAAAACTCGAAGCCCCTTGAGGGGCGACTGGGGTGCTCGCAGTTTCGCTTTTGTTGCACGGAATCCCCAGAATATACCGCTTTATAAGGCTCAATAGCGCTATAGTGCAGCCAGGCGTCGTTAAACTGCCAAAAGGTGCAAACCTACGGTTTTACTAGTCAGCTAGGCAGCACTGCCTCGGGTACCCTGTTGTAGTGGTACAGACATTCGCCTGCATCTATGGAATGATTATGCGCCTCTCCGCACTGCAGCAATGTGTGGAAAAAAGAAGTACGAATTAGAAGACGCGAGTTCTAGGGATTTGAATCCGAGCGGCGCGGCAGCGTGGCCGCACACCACCAGATCAGCAGATTAGCGACTCTTATATGTTTGACACAGTAACCTCCACCTCAACACCGGGGTCGATGTTGATGGACGTGATCTGACGAACCACGTCGCTTGCAGAGTGCAAGTCGATCAAACGCTTGTAAATACGCAGCTCGAACCTGTCGTACGTGTTTGTTCCTAAAAACATAAGGACCCAGACAGCCACAACAGTACGGTTAAGCATACATATACCTCAAAAACACATTAAGGAGAAACATCTCTGCAGAGAGCCAACTTCCATGGTTCCGCCGGACGCCCATAGGGTTTCTGCAAATGTTCTGGCAAACACACGCACCCTCTCCACACGGAGATTTCCTTGTGGTGACCCGAAGGGTCTTGACAGGTAGGCGTACTGGCCCATTTGTCTGCAGCTTCCTTTGCTTTGCCGCTCCAATCAACTCCGTGCAAACTGAGGAACCACAGACAGACGCAAAACAGTGCATACGAAACATAAGCAGCACTGCCGCAGTGAAACAAATACAGGCAAACTATCACTTAACACAAACCAGCTCCAACGTGCAAAACGGCCTCCTGATGTATATGAGACAGTGCGTCACGAATCGCTTGTGAGCTGGAATGGCGAAGATGCGCCAACAAAGCAACGTTTTATGGAGGGAGGGACTCCAAGTTCCCCCGGCCTCTTCCGTCAGATAAACAGGTGAAGAGCACTGTCGGATTGCGCAAATGCCGCTGGTTCACGCTTTGTGAAGCAAACAGCAGTCAAGGCACCTGGATGTCTCGGCAGGTGCATAGCATAATACGGGTTGACAGTTGTGCCTGTTTGCACCGCGCAAATCTGCTGCGAAGCTCAGGCTGAAGAAGTATCCTACTAGTGATTTCTATTTCTCACCACGCTCGATGGATTTCAAATCCTTTGAGGTAAGCGTTATGCGGATCCTATGGAGCCGCTGCTCCTCCCCCTCCAAACCCTCCTTGAGCGCTTTGCTCATGCTGGTGGCTACAGAGGAAAAAGGAGGTATAAGTTAGGAAAAATAAATCCTAAATACCGCCACAACTGGAAAATGCGTCGCTCCTAAAAGGGCATCGCCCACTATTCCCCACAGAAACACCGTCGGGCTTTAGGAAACGCCAGCCCCACTATGCGGTGGGTGCTCTGACACGGACGTTGGCTGCCCCACTGCAGCCATAGGTCGGGCTTGGCGCAGCGTTCGGCTGCAGCCCCAAATCCTTTGGAAAAAGAGAACACAAGTGGGGTGCTGCATTCTCTCTACCCCCACGCTTCTAGGGCTGCAGCATTACAGCATGCTCCCTCGCCTTCTATTGCACTGAGGGGCCCTTTCTTGGATTTCGCGGGACATTTGCAGTTTTCTCTCCATCTATACTTGCAAAAGCCTGCAGTACCCCAGTCAAGAAATATGGCGGCGGCGGACACCCAGAAGAAGCGCCCAGTCAAGGGCACTAAGCAGCCGGTTCGGCTTTATGTCCGTGGGATTGTCCTCGGTTATCAGCGGTGAGGGACTTTCCTTCATTTATTTACTTTCTCCTTGCCTTTCCTTCTCCGCAACCAGAACCTTGCAGTTTCCTTTATTGAATCCCGCTCATTTTTGGTCTTTCGCATCCGCAGCCCCGTTCATACCAATATATAAATATGTATATATATATTTTTTCCGTATACTCTATCAGGTTAACTTGGTACCGCGGTTCCGATGCATATCTCCCCTGGGGCATATTCGGAGGATTTGAATGGGCACTTGGCTGGAAGTGTATATTGCCATTCAGTTTGGGCGCGTGCGCTGCAGATCCAAGGTGAACCAGAACCCTTCTCGCTCCCTCTTGCAATTGGAAAATGTAAAGACTAGGAAGGACACTGCTTTCTATCTCGGCAAACGTGTCGCATATGTATACAAGGCAAAGACAGAGAAGCAGGGAACCAAGTTCAGGGTACGGTCAGGGTTTACGGGTGCACGGCTATCGCTGTAGGGGAACTGTGTACTTGTATAGCAGTATTGGTCCCTTCTCACCTTACGGCCAGTTTCAAGATAGTTGGCCATGGCGTGTGTTTGTTTTCCTGTTTACAGACAATCTGGGGGAAGATCTGCCGCCCCCATGGGAACAGCGGCGTTGTGCGCGCCCGTTTCAGGAAGAATTTGCCCCCGAAGTCTTTTGGAGGGCGCGTGCGGGTCTTTTTGTACCCTTCCAACATCTAAATTCCTACGCAAACCCTATACCCCAGGCGTGAAGGGCCATAACCTTTACTGCGAGACGGGAACGGGTTCGATTGGCATTCGGTCAGTTGGATGGGTCGGCGTGTTTTCTTTTGCACGAGAACTGTTGGACTGGCACTAGTAAAGCTGTTCCGGTTTTTATACCGACTCGTGGGTGCCATGTGCACTTGTGAACCCCTAGGATACAAATACAGAAGGGCGTTTAGCGCATAGGCCCCGCGTGTGCCAGTAGTCGTGAGAACTAACAGCAGTGTAGAGCTCATATGCAATTTAAAAAAATTCCAGCGTAGCCACGCATTGGTTTTGTTGAGCGGAGGAGGCCAACGACGAAGGAAAACCAATTACCCCTCCAGATCCTTAGCCAAATCAGTTGTACGCTGCTGCTGTGCTGTCAGCGGCAGTTTGTGTGCCATACGTAGGCTTTATTTTGCCGACGATGTGAACTTTTCGACTAGATCATTCATTTTCTTCCGGAATTCTTTGGCTGCACTCCCGGGGTCCTATCGGGCACATGTGTCACAGCTGCAGGGGAGGGATCAACCAGAAGGCAAGTAACACGGTGTTCGTATGTTTACACACCACGTCAGATGCCAGTAGTGTTTGGCATGTGCCTAGAGCTACAGGGTGTCCTCATTTACCTCCGCCTCCGAGATGGCACGCCCGACGTTCACGATAAGGCCAAGACCGTCTCTCCTGATGCCTGCAGATTTAAGCAGAGCTTAAGGATTCTGTGCGAGTAGGTGAAAGTAGAGTCTAAGTTGAATACCGAGACGATTGCGGGGCATTTCGACGTGGAACAGCCGGGCGATCATTTACAAAATACTCTCCCCTTCCCCAGTCCAATTGGATAATACACAGTTGTACTAAGTTTCTGCTTAAGGCACCCGCAGCGCAAGAGAAATCCTAACCTGCTTTAATAGTTGCCTCGAGGTCCCCCCCTTGTGCGCCGATGCCCGGGGACAAGAACCATAAATCAGGGAAAATTGAACGAATTCTACTCATGTCGTCGGGATATGTAGAGCCCACAACGAGGCCGACTAGGCCCCCATCTTCAGTCATGGCAGGTTCTGCAGACGGGTGGCACCTTAACAGTTGTCGATGCCATGGAGGACAACTGCATATCTAATATGTTCCATGTCGCAGTCCCCAGGAACGAAGATAGAACTTCAGCTCAAACAGCCCATTGCTGGCGTGCACAAGGACCGTCACAACTTCTATCTCCACAACTTCACAAAGCCCAATGACTCTGGATGCTGGTACATTTGTGCTTACCGTTTTGTCTCCTTACGCTGTCACACATGTGAGCTACGTGCATAAAGACCTCCATCCGCGCCTCGTTGCCATCCGCTTCCCCCAAACAGTCCTTAACAAGCAGACCTTGCAAATCCGCGCTGCGTGGATTTGAACTTCGGCAGACGACGAATATTCCTTTCCCCTTTTCTTTGAGAAAGGGGAGGAGTGCATTCTCCCCGAAATACGGATCTAAAGTTATGCAGTCAGCCTGATGCAAATGAGCAGAGAAGCAAGCAAAATATCCGCTCAAATGCATGTTACGGTACGGGTACAGCAAACACACCCCATTGGGTAGGAGGCAAACTGCCAAGAGGGGGAGACAACAATCAGCCTCAACAAGCATACTTACGCCATAAACAGAGAAGAATGCATGGGCATACGCCTCTGCTGCTTCGTCCGTCGCAGCTCTTTTGGCGTCAATTATGACTGGAATATCTTCCGGTATTTCCCTACAAACTCGTTGCAGAACCTGGATGAGTAAAAAATGACAGAATCTACAATTGGAAACATGCTGGGTTTCATGGTGCAGGATCATGGGGAGAGGCAAGTTTGACCGAACTCCCTCCCTAAGGAACCGAGACTTCCCACAGTTGCAGTGAATCAGGGTCGTTTGGTTATTGAAGGTATGCTCAGACAGAAAGGGGTTCACTCACAAACGGTTGCCGTTCTCAAGAAGGGAATTTGCCGTAGCAGCTGGCGTACCTCCATTCCTCCTGATCCGTACTGTTCAAAGAATGCCACGTTGAGTTTAAAGCAGCAGACAAAATCAGAAGTCTTTTCAATGAGTTGCGTGCACTTTGCGTGTAAGCCTTCCATTAAGTGCCGCAGTTCCGTGTCCGAAAGGGACGCAACGGGAGGGCACGGAAGGTTAGGGTCAACCCCAACACAAAGGATCGTCCCATGTTCTCTAATGCGTCTACTGAGCTTATCTAAAAACGAGCCAGCCATTGCAAAGTCCCTGAGGTAAAAACAACCAGTGTCCTCAAGCCGACACCACCCAGAAAGGGTTAGCGTCGATATGTAGAATGCTTTCAGTTACAAATTCCCCTTAATTTCACCTTTTAATTCTTTGCCGTTACTATTTGTGTTCGACGTTAATGAAAACCCCAGTCCTGCTCGCAAAGGTCGTGGGGCCCCACGGTGGGGCCCCACCGGGCGCGTTTCACTACAGCGCATGGCTGTTGGCAGTCCAGTAAAAATTAAGACGAAGTAAGGAAAGTTAATGTAAATACGAGTTCTTAATAGCTTTTGGAAAGGAACGTCTCCCTATGCAGAGAAACTCCTCCAGCCATGCCAACACCAAACCCCTCTATGTGGATAGGTATGAACTACTCACTACCGCTGCACTCGCTATTGTGCCTAATCAAATAGTCGATGCGAACGTACAAGATAGCCTACTCCACTGGCTAGCTTGCCACCTCCCCTCACCCCTTAACACCGAAACAGACACGCGTAGCCTACAAAGACCTTTCAACTTAGTAACCATCGTAGGTTCTAAATGTGCCAGTACAAACTTCCCCATGCAGAGCAAAAGCGAAAAGCGGCTCCCAAACGGGGCCCTCTTTACATCAGCACTAACACCAGCAGCACTAACAGCAGCATAAACAGCAGCAGAAAAAACAGGGTATGCCATGCCACCATCCTAGTGGCATTGCATCGCCTCTTCTTGTCGCCCGCCCCCAGCTTTGCCAGTAAGAGGGCCGACAAGCGACAAGTCATTCAAACAACAGCAGCATCGGCAGCAGCAGACACAGCAGCAATCGGCAGCAGCAACCACAGCACAATATCCACATAAACTGGGAAGCCATTGGGGCCGCCTTTTGGATCTCCTGGCTCCAACCCAACCATACATGCCGCCTCCCTAGCCCATCTAGAGAATGACAGCAACGATCGCTATAGGCCGTTGCCGCCACCCTAGACCTTCAAGCGACTGACACCAGAGCACTGCGTAGAAACAAGATGCAGGATGCCAATCTCCAGAATCCGTTTCTGGTGCGCAATTTGCTAGTAGTCGTCCCCAAAAGTCCGCGAACTCGCGGGGCCCTCTAACGACAGGCAGTCTGTGGGGAGGCAAGGAAAACAGCAACGGAACCGGAAGCAGCGGCAGTCGCTGCTGCTCTACTGCAGCTGAAACCTGTCCCGACACTGTTTATGCACGGTTCAGAGCTCAACTCTACGCAGCCCGTTTCTCCATTGATTCGACTCAACTGTAGTGACTCAGCAACTGCGCAGAAACGAAAACAAATCTCGCACAAGGGAGGGCGCTTGAAGCAAAGCAACCGCACAGCAGCAATCTCGACAAAATATGTACGAATCTTAACACTTGCACCGACACAAGCAACCACCTACACATATTCTAAGCACGATAGCTCTACCCTCTCTATCCCTGTATTCTCCGAAAAGCCCCTGCTACATCCTGCAGCATTGCAATGCCCGCTCTCAACCATATTGTCCTCCAACATCCATTTGGAGCTGTTGTAAGCTACAGTGTGAGGAGCGAATTAAGACAATTCACAATACGGCTAATTTGCACCTGAGCTAGCCACTGAGCTTTCGCTCCAACAGCGGCGTTGCCTTCTTCGGTTGCCAGACGCTCGGCCTCCCTCTGCAGCTGAACGACGAAGCTTGCAGAGCGCAAGTAACCACCAAGTGTCCGCCCAAATGTCGACAGCAGATCCCTGAGCAGCGGCGCATGCCATATAAAACGCAGGGTTTTAGCCTCCACCCGTATATTCAATAAAGCACATGAACTGAAACACAGTTTTATGAACTCTGGTTTAAGGGTCCCTCACCCCGTGAGCTCCAATGCCTGCTGCACCATCTGCGCTGAGCCATGGACCCAAGCCGGGGCCTCAGCGACGGCCTTTACAACCTGCAGCATTCCGTTGACTTCTTTGCGTAACACTTCCTGCAACTGCGCCTCCTTTAGTGCATACACGCAGCTGGCCAACGCCTCAAGAGTAGCTGATCGCAGCTCGTGCACGTACCACATCCACTCCTCATTGAGCTGCCAACACAGCCACATGCAAGCATAACGGTTAGTAAAGAAACGTACACTGCTTGGCTAAGGAATGTGCCCAGGATAAGCGCAATTCCTTACAGGGTAAGGGACAAAGATGGGCTCAGTTGCCTACACAACACTGCAGGCACTAAGCTAACGCTCTCAGGTCTGGTGACGGAGAGCCGTCAACATTAAACGGGCTTTTGAGAACACTAGCCTACAAACGTAATTGGCACGGAACTCACTTGCCAATTTGGTGGCCCAGCATCATACGGGGTGACACCCGCCTGCACCAGCAACTCAATCAGCCACGGGGAGAAACGTGCAAACTTGGCACCCCCGAGACTCAACGCCACATCTCCGACTGCGACAATTACGACTGGCTTTAGAGACCTATCCACCGACGGGGCCTGAAACGAAACAAACGCCAAGGCCTGTACGCGTATACCGATCAATATGGCAAGGCATAAGCAGCTGGGGAGGTAAAACCTGAACAGCCATCCCAGCGATGCACTCACGAAATCACCTCAACGGAAGTTTACATTATCTACAACTGAGGTAGGCATACTCTGAGAAGCTGGTAAAACTCGTGGAGAAGGGCATCCGCAAGGCCTCCGAACTCCGTCCCCAGTGCTCTGCTAAGGTCTCCCACAAGCTCTATACATATGCGCGCAGCCTGTAGCTCGTCTGGAGTGCTGTTATCATTTGGTGACGCGGCAGCCGTTGCAGCAGTTGCTGTCGATGCTGCCTCTTGGGGCTCGTGCTGATGTTTCATCTGCAGCACCAGCAAGTCCGCCACCTCCCTCGCAAAGGGAGAAACCGCAGGGCCGGAAGCATTGATAAGGGCAGAAAGTGCAAGTAGAGCATCGCAAACACTCGGTTCGGAGCTGACAACAAATCCTTGAGGATTATTGGGCGATGTGCTGCCCTCGGCCTGGCTAGGCTGCACGCCGTTTGCAGGACGCTGGAACACCTGGAAGATGGCACAAATGAAAAACGCACCAGAACTGACACATGAGGTCAGGGAAGGGATCAACCACAATAGGGTTAACGTGTCACTGCAGATACCATGGAGCAGCGACGAAGAGGGAGCACGAACGCGCACTACATTAAAATATAAACACGTTACTTGCTTATCCAACCCACCTTCTTCAGAGTGCTCCAGAGGGTGTCGGCGACGGGTTTCACTTGATCACCCAGGCGCAAGCAGAGAATTTGAATGACGCCACACAGCATCCCTGCGTCAGCACAACCACGCAGCATTCTTTTGTGTTGGGTGGTCCATTGTTTTGCATTTGCACGTAACAAAGAAGAGTGCGCGCATGCTGCATGCAAATTCAGCATGACCGCCTACTCTTCTAGCCTACTAGCATGACCGCCTACTCTTCCCACGGTACCACCAACGCTGCACGCATACCACGTGCACGGAGTCTGGTCAGAGGTCTAAAAACAATCGTTGAGCACTACTAGTATAAAACATGAAGAAACTGAACACCCTACGAATCATCGAAGGAATGGTAGCCGCAGCAGAGGGCCCTTACCTTGGCGCTGTTTAGTCTGTTCCGTCTGCTCGAATGAGAAGGACTCTCTAAGCTGAAGCTCGAAGTGCTCGAGAAGTGAGAGTAGATGATTCCAGCACGCAGGGCCTGCATGCGTATGTCACATCCCCAATCGTCCCTACACCTTGCAATGTAATAGACACGACAGGCTGCCCGCTGTATTCTACCGTGAAGAAGTAGTAAATTCAGACGAGCCTAAATACAGTCCTCTTTTGGAGACGAGTCCCCTAAGGAGTCTAACCTGCATTCTTAATCAACGCCCCCATGCAATTGAATGCAGCTTCGCGTAAGTTTTTCTCGTCCTGTGCGAATACACAGGCAACGAATGTAGCTGTAACCCAAAGCTCGTACAATCTACAGCACTATGAGGCATGAGACAAGAGCACTTGACTTACAGCATCTGGCCGCCCTGAGACACTCAGGAGAGCTTCACAGAGCTTGGGAAAGATGGGGTCCAACGGATTTTGATCTTGCTGTGCAGTGGTTGCTCCTTGGTAAGCAGCCCGACCCTCAGGCGTGTTGATGTTGTCTGCTAGCTCATGGAGCATCCAACAGATGTGCACTGCAACCCTCGGTTGGTCAGCGAGACGTTCCACAATTGCAAGAAGGAGTTCGCCGCTAGCGTTGGACGCACCACCCGACGGAGACACGCCCGCAGGCGGGAACAGATGCCGCAGCACAATGGGTGCATGCTGCTGCGCCGCCTTGCCAAGGGTCCATGCGGCGCTGTCTCTAACAGCAACTGAAGCATCTGACGCAACCGCCTTCACCAGCATGGGAAACGAAGTTGCGACGTATGGAGCCATCGCCTCTGCGCTTGGCCCCTCCATCACACAACCCAAGGCCAACAGAGAAGCCTCTCGACGACGCCACTCCGTTGATGAGAAGTTTAACTGCACGAACTCTAGCACTGGAGGAAGAATTGCATCCTTTACAACCTGTTTCAAGATCGCAATACAACAAAAGCACGGTACAACATCTAGCCTCAAACGACAGGCGATCCAACTGCGAACCCCTCTGCTCGGTTCAGAACGATTGGGACCGTCTATCGCTCTAGATCACTCCCTGTGTGTCTGCACCAGTGTCTGCACCCCGCACTGGACAGGGGAAACTCGGCTAGTCAAGAGATTACGATGGATTAGCTGACTTGTGCGCAGAGGCCTAAACATATGGCGGCGGCCATCGCCGGCGTCCAGCTGTCATCATCATCCTCGTCCTCCGCCGCATTCAGAAGCTGTGAAAGGAGGAGGGGCAGCAGGAATGGTGCAGCTTGCTCCATAATTTTCAAAAGCTTCCAACGGGTTGAGTCGCCCTCGATAATAGCGAGCTCCTCCTCAGCCAAAGCATTCCACACTTCCAACGCCGCAATAACCACTGCCGAATCCGACCCCTTGAGTGCATGCCAAGTAAGCTGAATACAAGGATAAAAAACCGCGCAGCGAAGTATTTACCACAATAAATTGCGCGTCCGTGCCCTTGAAAAGATAAGCAAAACGGACCAGTGCACTCATCCGGGACAAAACCCTAATAGGTAGAACAGGCTCCAGTTATGACGCGGCCATCATTCACACCTAGTCCTTTTAGTAGCAACGCTGTCAATTTTCACGTGTACAGCGTTCATTAAGCTGTCTGCAGTCTTGCAACCAGTACAGTATCTACGAGAAGAGCGCTATCGAGTAAAAGCATTGTGCTACTCACATGCACATGCAGTCATGCACACACCCTAGAGCTGGGAACAAACCAACGCAGTCACCCGAGCTTAATCTAAAGCACTGGCAACAGGCTGCTTACGCTCAACAATCCATCATTACGTGTGACACAGCGTGACCAAAAAGAGACATATGCAGGTACACGCGCGTATGCACGGCACTACGCGCGTATGCGCGTAGTGCCCTGGCATGTGATATTCACAGACAGCTGATACTTCCTGAGATGCTCATGCGCACGCCAGGTGCCTCCACTAATGCATGAGTAACCCGTGAGCCTGCTAGGCGGAAGAAACCTCCTGGAAATCTTCAGCCACGGTGTCGCAATCCAAACTCACTGGTCCCACGGTAGGCATATACGCTTCCAGGAAGGAGTAATACTCCTGTGAAATTTGCACTATACACTCAAAAGCCGCAACTTGAACAGGATTCGGATTCTCCGCGCCGCCTGCCTCCACTACTGAAGCGATGATGTAGTCCCGTTCTTCCTGTGCATCGCAGACAACTCTACAGCGATTGCGGTGAGGTGACACTCACCAAGCATCACTGACCAAATGTGCGACTGTCTGTTTTCGCATTCCTTCTTATCAGACGGTCTGCATCCACTGAAAGTCTGAACAGCAGCAAACACAAAACAACTTATTCAGCGGCACCTTTCTATTGAAGTTTTCCTTGGCGAAAATCAATGCATGGTAAAGAGCGCGCAGTGCCGCCACCTTCAGCTGCGGATCCGAGTCCTTCAGCCCTGCAGCCATACGACAAGCCCCCAACGCAGTCGCAGAAGTCAATAAGATTTGAAGGGAGGTGGATGGACACAAGTGAGCGGTTCAAAGACAAAAGCACCTGTTTGCGTGCATGTATGTATGACGCAAAACCGAGTAGCTAAACTGACACCCGAACTTAGTTAGTGCCGTAGCTAACCATGGACGACCGCTGTGAGCACGACATTGCATCTTTCGTTAGAGAGGACCTCTGATGGCTCTTCTCCCTCTGAAACAATATCAGCAAGCTCTTCGCAGAGATACGCAAGACACGTCAGAGCATGGCGTCCGCATGCCTTGGCGAGCTGCTGCTGTTGCTGCGGCTGCTGACATGAAACCGCCTGCTGCACCATGTCCTGAAGTGCGGGTAAGAGGTCTTCAAACTCCAACGATCGCAGCTCTATTACCCCCAACTTTGCCAAGGCCTGGCAAACTGCATTGCCCACCTGATAAGTCGCAGTACACTCAACCAGTCTGACCCCTTAGAGATGAAATGCAACTAGGAAGTCGCGCAGGTGTTGCAAGAGACTCGACACTTCAATGGCCAATTATATATGTCCACCAAGTAAAAGTGACTCGTGACTGGCAACAGGAGCCGCGAATTGTGCGTGTGAGGCTTGTGCTGCCACTTTGGTTGAACAGCATCGACAGTAAAGTGACGGTGCATTCCAACACCTACCTGCGTGCACTCCGTCTGTAAAGCTGCCAGCAACTGCTTTTTTATTTCAGCTTTTGTTTGGGCTGGAAGGGCCCGCCAGGCCTGTGCCGCCGCTCCATCTAGTGTCATATCCTGCACAATCCGATCACAGTACGGCTACGACTGGTGAACGTTAGTTCACCTATCTGCCACCAGACTTTGCAGGGGCACACACCTCTATGTACGGCCTCTGCATCTCCAGGGCTGTTCCACCGTCTGTTCCACCAGATGCCACTACTTGACAGCAGCAGCCAGAAGACAAAACAACAGCCAAGCCTCCACATATCACGGTGGCGCAGCACCAGAAGCCACGACAGATACAACAGACGACAACACGCAGGAACAGTCGGCCCACCTTCGCGCTGATGGAATTCTTGAATGTTACAGCAGCAATCTGCTTCGCTATAAGGAGATCTTCAAGGCTACCAGGGGCCCCCTGAGGCCCCTGCGGCGGCTGCTCCAAGGCAATGAGCGCAGCCATAGAGCTGACAAATTGGCCAAGGTCTGTCTGCCTCGCCGTAGTTAGCTGCTGCTCTGCTGCCTGTCGCACAGAGGGCCGAGGGTCAAGGGTAGCTAGCAGCAGTTGCTGCAGCACCGCCATTTGGTCCGCCATTTCTGCAGATCCTGAACGTCAAATGTGAGAGGAAATGTGCAGATAAAGGGTGTACGTATAAACACGTGCTGCTGCTGCTGGTGCCGCTGCTGCAACTGCAGCAGTGCCGCCGCAGCTTCGTCAGCAATGCGCCTGGCTTCAAAGCAAAGTTGAAATTACGGCTTCATGCAGATAAGCACAGAAGAACTCGGTATGGTTTGCTGCTGCCGCTGAGCAGCAGCAGCAGCTGCTGCTGCTCCAGTTGAATGGATTCCAGCAGTTCTTGCCGCCGTCCCGGAAGGCAACCTTGCGATAAGTACGTGTGGTACTTAGTTCACTGAGGGGGGTGAGAGAAAAGGGATGAACGGACGAGTTGGCTGCAGCGTACACGCGCTGCTGTAGCTGTTCCTGATGATGCTGCTGCCTCACAAGTTGAAACCCAACAGGGTCTCCCATAACACGAAATGGTAGCAGCAGCAGTCCAGGCGTAGGGCAGCCGGACCGAGTAATAGCAGCAGTAGCAGCAGCGGCACAGGGACCGACCCAGCGACTGTACAACTGCTGTGAGCAATGATGCCCCCGTTGCTCCTGCTAGGATATTTAAGTGCAACAAAATCAAGTTCTTGTCCGGCCAGGCTTCGGCTGCTGCTGCTGCCGCTGCCGCCGCAGCAGACCTGAAGCTGGAGAGGGGAGGGGGAGCTAGTCTAGCAGGCCGCAGCCGCCACAAACTGAGTTTAATTGCCTTTCCTCGCCCTTTGAGCTGCTGTTGCTGTTCTTGCTGCTGCTCAGCCCGGTGCGCCCTAGTCACAGCAGCTGCAGCAGCCGCTGCAACAGCTGCTGCGGCCGCAGCTGCTCTGCCTACTCTGCAGCAAGAGCCGCAGCATCAAGGCAGCACTGTGCTGCAGTAGCGCAGCCTGCTTCAGGTATGCCGTAGTATATTCGAGCTACACACATTCACTATACAGATTAAAGTAGTGGAGACAGGATTAGCGCTTCCTTTTTGCCTTCTGAGGAAATCCACTGCGCCCCACATGTTCCCCTATCTAGGCGCGGACCCCCGCAGCCATCCCTTTGAGAATGGGGCAGAGATGGCCTTCTCGGGCTGTCTCTTCAGATATTTTCCAAAACTGAGTAACCTGGGGAAAAGATTTGCTTATGTGAACTTCAGTGTGAATGGACAGGATAGCGGAGTGGAGGAACCCGCGAGCGAGCTTTCTCGTGCAAGCCATAGTCGCAGCAACCGCGATGTGCTGTAGGCGTGTACACATATCAGTTCCTACAAAAACATGGGGGGCAGAAGTGTGGAGGAGATGGCAAGTCGTCTTGAACGGTTCTACCGTGTATCCGTTCGTTTTGGTTGTAGAGTTGTGGCGGGGTTCTTATCAGTTTGCAAGTTTTGTAGGGCAATTGTGACACTCCTCGACCTTGAGAGGGATTCACAAGAGCAGCTATCGAGGGCGAATAGTCAAATTCGCAAAAACCCACCTGATTATAAGCGCTCCTCCACTGGGGTCGTGGTCACCAGGGAACACATTCCTGGGGCCAGTACGATACTCAGTCCGATCTGAAAAAGTTCGACAGAAGTGGGGGCATGAACCCTTACCTTTACTTAGTAGACAGGCAGTAATAGAGCAATTGCTTTCAACGACATTCTACAGTGCTTGCCTATAGGACGGCTCTCGTGTTTGTAGGGGGGGGCACGCTGCTTAGCGGATGCGCCTGCCCAACAACGGCGGCATTTCAAGGAGATGAATCCGGTAAATGAGAGGTGGACTGCTGTATGCATGGATGGCGTGTTTGTGTTCTTAAATGTGCGAAGGCACCTAGAGAGCCTGGGAAATGTATTATCTTCGCTTGATATGGTTCAGACCGCGTTGCAAAGGCACGAAACCTTGTAAATATATTATTTTGCATTAAAAACGAGCACTTTCGTGCCTTCACACACCACTATTGCCCGAGTTCAGAGGCCATTCCGTGGTGGGCGCTACCTTTGTACTATCGTACGCATGTCCAGAAGTTCCTCATTCTCGTACACACACAACGCCACCTTCATATTTGGTTTTTCGCCATTTTTCGCCAACCGACGCCCCTCCAGCGGATTTACTTATAGACGAGAAGGAGTTCATTTCGATAGAGAGTGACAATACAGCTTCAAGAAGCCTCATTAGGCATCTGACGTCGCGTCCAGCACTCGCGTTCCCTGATCTCGAGCCTGTTTTTCCTAACAACGAGCATCTGTTGGGCTCTCTCAGAAAGTCAAAAAGTCAACCATTCGAAAAGCATCAAAAGCATCAAGTAATCTGCAACTCACGTCACTTCACGGAGAGAGAACACCTGTATGCAGTTCACGATGCCGAGTTCTACGCAGTCAATGGTGTCAGCATTACTTACATGGCAGGCATTTTACTTCGCAAACCGGTCACCAATCTCCAAGTCACCTGATCAATATTTTACAGGACTATAACAATGGAAGCGTTGTTCGGCGGCGTAGTCGGATTATGGAGTGAGCCTTGACGATGAAGCCAACAACCACATCACCGACGCAGTCCCTGATGCAGTCTGCCGACTCCTCACCCGATCAGCCCGTGAGCTCCGGTGTGTGATGATTCCTGTTCAGCTTAAGAATTGCGATCATCCTACTGCATGAATACTCATGCGGCTGCAGTCACCACAAATGCCAACAAAGGCAACGGGTGAAGTATGACATCATCTACGGGGAACTCTTGTGGTGCCTGATGAAGCATGGAGTTGAACGATTGTGCTTTGTAACTTTTGTAATAATACTCTTAAACCTGGACTCTTGCGAATCCTTCCGGCTCCTCAACGGATATCGGTGGATGCGTCATGAGGTTTCAGATGAGCTAACCATCTGTCGAAGCTATGATAGCATTTACGTCATTCTGGAAAAGCTTAACAAGTATGCCAGTTTCATCCCGTATTCAAGTCACGTCACAACAGAAAGGCCCAACAATTCATTATTTATCTCTGGGGGCTTCACTGTTTTCTGAAAATTATTATTACATGAAAATTATCATCGCATGATGAACGATACAATGCAACGTATCACATCAATCTTGGCTGTAGAACATAAAGCTTTATGGAAATGAGTGTTCCAAGGAGCAGAACGCCAAAAGGGTGTCGAGACTGGTGCGAGGAGGCACCGGCCAGTTTTGGGGTGCAGCACCTGTTGCAAGGCAATCCCCAAAGGAAGGGCAACAAGTGGTGCATACACTAACACTGTAGGTAATTGGTTAATGCATACTTGGCCGTTATCCGCCAATCGGCATGCAAATTGGAAAACTAGCCTTAAGTCTTATCCAGTGGCTATTGCAACCAGAAAAGAAAGGCAAAATACTCAAGAGCAGTGTTCCCAACTTGAAGCTGACATACCTCCCCATTGTCCGGGAGCTCCAAACGTAAACTCTCATACTCCTTGAGAGGCCGTATACGTGCTAACATGCTATGAATTGTAGTTCCCCTTGCTGAGGTTCATGCGCCAAAACGGGTCCGTGCTGCATGCACTAAAGCTGCAGACAACTGTTGAAGCCTTTTCCCTGTCTGTTGGTTGCCTACAAAATATGAGTCCAATTTCATTCACAGACTTGGCATACCTGCCAAACTCAGGCAGCCTAGTCTAAGCAAGTAGATACACAGCTACAGACGCTGGCCAGGCCGTGCTACACACTGAGAGGCATCCTAAGATACTAGCGTAAGCATTTCCCGTTCTCCTTCACCACTAGGGAAATAAATAATTGTTAAGTCCTTATATAGCCCCCAGTTAGCCTGTATGCACACTAGTACAAGTGCCAGCGCACAGAGAGCGTATGCAGCCACCAGTAGAGTCTCGTTTTTCCATTAAATGTATCGTCTCGTCTCTCTTATCATATTGAAATATATCACGTACTTAATCGTGTTTATAATTTACACGTACCCTCGCCTCTTTGCTCTTCATTTTAAAGCTATATGCTTGCTCCGTTGGATTACCCAGTACAGCAGACTGCTCACTGCAGGCTGGCTGCATGCCAGGCCAGTCACTGGAGTGCATGCACCTGGCACGCGTTACGGGATGTCTGGAATGTATGCAATAAACAAGCTCGCTTCTTTTTATGTGCCATTTTTTGCAGTCGCCATGCGGCAACTGATTGCCCCATGAGTGCTCGAAGAACTGCCTAATTTCCCCCCAGCCAAGAGTGCCAGACAAAGCCAGCTCTCAACTATTCGGAGTTGAACAAGGCCATTAGGAGTTGACAAAAGGTCTGCATTTTGTGCAAATTAAAGGAAACGGTCTCTCATGGCTTATACCATACGGCTAGAGGGGGCCTAAGGGTGTTCACGTTCCTCGCGTTACAGTAGAACCTATTTTTACACTGGTTGTGGCTTTCCACAGAACCACGGCGTCAAATGTTTCTACACACACCTGTTGTAGCATCAGGCTGAGACATATTTGTTGGATGAATTTGTTCTACAAAATGTGTTCAACCAGTCCCACAGGCGGAGAAGACATATGATCTCAATCCCAGGCCCCCGTTTTTGGTTGGTGTGTGTTAGGCCTTCCCAGGAAGAGCGCCCGAAGAACTTCAAAAGTCTGGATAATTCTAGAATGTCGCGCCGATACGACTCGCGCACGACCACATTCTCTCCCGAAGGGAGACTATACCAAGTAGAGTACGCTCTTGAGGCTATCAACAACGCCTCCTCCACCCTAGGCATCTTGGCAAAGGATGGAGTTGTCTTAGCCGCTGACAAGATGGTTACTTCGAAGTTGCTTGACCATGGAAGGGCCAAGGAGAAGCTATACAAGGTGAGACGCTCTTACGACCCTGAAAAGGCTTGCTTCTACCCCAGTTGCGGAGCTGTTTCTGCGTATTCTAACACCTCGTTTTTAGCCTGACAAGAGTTAAAATTAGGCCACTCTGCGCTATAACACACTGTGGTGAGATGTTATTGGCGTCGCTTTTGTTTCGGAGTAACGAGTCTATGCGTCTTTGCATTGGTAGGCACCAAGTCTAGTAGCAAGTGCCTTTCCTGAGCTTTGCACATTTTCAGGTAGACAACCACGTAATGTGCGCAGTTGCCGGATTGACAGCTGACGCAAACATCCTGATTAATCAGGCGAGAGTTAACGCTCAACGGTTCCTATATCAGTATGGAGAACCGCAGCCGATCGAGCAGCTGGTGGTACAGATATGCGATATCAAGCAAGTAAGAATGGGATTATTGGCTCTTTGGTACCCTATGTGAGGCTAGTTAGAGTGCATCGCCAGGAACAGCCTTATGAGGGGGCAGGACGCCAGCGATATTGTGTGTATATGTGTGTGTATTGTGTGTGCTCCCGCTTGAAAATTACAATTCGGACTGTTGTAACATGTGTTGTTTTCAGTCATACACACAATTTGGTGGCCTGCGCCCATTCGGCGTAAGTTTTCTGTTCGCTGGTTGGGACAAGCACTACGGCTTCCAGCTATATCACACGGACCCATCAGGCAACTACTCTGGATGGAAGGCGACCGCCATCGGCGTTAACAACCAGTCGGCACAGACAATCCTGAAACAGGTGTGTCCCACGAAATTTTTGGGGTTCGTGTCGTGCACCTACTGGGTGGTGTAGCCTCGTACCATCACCCTCCCTAGTCTTATTGGGAGCTTAAAAAGCAACTTGACGATGCGATGCTCTGGGCCTATCGTGAGACTAGCAGGTGTAGCTGTTGTGGATATGCCCGACGCAGGAATTGCGAGATGATATGGACGTGCCGGCGGCGCTCGACTTAGCAGCCAAAGTTCTCAACAAGACAATGGACACGGCAGCGCCAAGTGCAGATAAGCTTGAGATCGCAGTACTACAGTTCGACCCCAAGGACCCGACTGTTCTCGAGCAGCGGTCGCTGCCTACAAAAGAAGTGGAAGCTCTCATGAAGCGCGCTCAGGAGCAGCAGACAGAAACACAGTAGAAAATGCTACACCAAAACGATTGCCGTGGAGCAGCAGCTCCATCCACCTGTCTTAGCTGAGTGCGAACGCGTTTTGCGCATTGTCTCTCAGCGGCGTAAGGACATCTCATACCTATGCACTTGTGGGGTGACGATAACGTGCACTGCGGCTGCGTGAGATAGCGTCAACTCAGCCAATAAACGGGTGCACATCAGTTGTGATGTACCCTATCCAATGTGGCTGAACAGCAGTTTCCAGCGTTAGGAGCTGGTGCCGCTGTTGCTGAGTGTAACTTGAGGCTCTCCTCCTCCGACAAACACTCCTTTGGGCGGCTCTTACAGACAGGGCTTACTAAGCATTTAGTTGTGCCTCGTTCTCGATGGTGTGGGTGGGGCAGGTCCCTGCAGCCTGCGCAGCGGGTAGTGCATCAACGTCCAGGCTAGTCGCAGCACACAAAACCCTCCACGGGAAGTGCTTTCGACATATGCTGATCAGATTTAGACGCAACAAAACGAATACAGGGTACGGGTTATCCCGTAAGGGCGTGCGTAAGCGTTGTTACAACCACGTCAGTAGCTCGAAATGCAGTACAGGGGGATGAAATGCCCTTTACATCATGTCCGCCAAGTGGTAGCAAGGGGTTTCTCTCCGTCCTATTACGCACACCGCAACCTGCTTGCCAGTTCCGAACACCTTCAGTTCGTGGACAGCGCCTACAATGTGCAAGTTGACTAACTCCAAGGGCACATTGTGGTAATCCCAAAGAACGCCAACGACGGCCGCCTGCGCTGTACTGCGACTCGCAATTTGGCGATCCTCTGGTGGCTCAGCAAACTGTTGCAGCTTCCAACTGGGAGCTCCGCACGCGCTCCTGAGCACCACTTCCACGAAGCAAATTTTCGCTGTCCACGCGGTCTTGTACTTCTGTGACTTGCTGAGTGGCAGCTATAGAATGCCCCACAACAACGGGAACCCCAGAATTCTTCTCCAACACTGCTTCTGAATCGTCGGATGCCTCCTGTGCGCAAGCTAAATGCTCCGGCCGTTGTTCGAACTCTGCGCGGGGGGAAGAGACGACTGAATCAACAGCACGAGGGTCTCTGTGCAGCGGGGTGTCTTTGCATCCCACAGGGCGATCGCAACAATTATCTGAAGACGGCCGGGGTATTGCATCATTGCCGTCCACATCTGGTAACGAATGCACAGTAAACTCGCAAGCACGATTTGAAGAGTCCTTTCTATCCCTCTCCTCATCTACCACGGCCGTGGCCTCCCCGTAGAGTTGTTCGTCGTGCTTCAGGGCTTCTTGGGAGGGTTCGTCGTCAACAAGAACCACTCGCTCGGCTCCCGTGTGAGTGGAGTCCTGTTTACATGAATTAACACTTGGCGAGGAGGCGGAACTGCTCGAAGGTGTGTTCGTCTCCCTGTTGGGTTGCCCTCCCTCACTAGCACTGCTTGGGGGAGTTCCGTCCGTGGCTGGTGGCCGCGAAGGGCCAATCAAACGCGCCACTTTCCGCTGCGGCCTCCCATTCGGCATTGAACAAGATATAACCCTCTTCCTGGTGGCTGAAAAGGGCGGCAGCCACCCTGACTGCGGCAACTGTCGGGGCTCCGAGTGTACCAAACGGGACTCCTTCTTCACGCATTCGTGAAGAGTTTCTAGCTGCGAGCGAAAAGACTCATTTGGCTGTGCCAAAGGGTTTCGGCGGCGCACAAATGCTAGTGCCTCATCAAATGACATGCCCTCGTATTTTATTAGGTAAGAACAGATGAAAGCAACTGACCGAGAAACACCTTGATTGCAGTGTATTAGAAGGTTGCCATCTTCCCGTGTGCGGCAAGTTTCCATAAGCTCCCACACATTTTCGAAGTGCGGCTGTAACGTCTCCGCGTGCGTATCGAAGACAGGAACCCGCAAATACCTGAATGCAAGGCGCGAGCCTACAGACAGGCGCTCGTGGAAGTTGGGGACGCCCCCCTCACCGCAGGGAGGAGTACAATTGATAATATAAGCAATCTTCTGCCTTCTCAGCAGCTGTTCATTCCGTGCGACCCTTCTATCGCCCAAAAACAGCCACGGGAAACGAACAGAATCCAGTGGCTCCAGACAACACGGTTCCCCGTGCGCTTCCATCTTCCCTATAGGAGCCGGCCTAAAAACAGTAGAGATCCTAAGAAAGAAGAACGGAAGAAAGTGAAGGATTTCGACTCAAGGCTCCATAAACGGCTCGATGTAGGCGTTAGCTCGTTCTCCAACAGACAGTACTACCGGCGGTCGAACAGTTCCTCTTAACGGCGAACCACGTGAGAAGTATACAATACGAAAAGTGATCTGAGTAGGTTCCACTCAAGCCGCCGTGAACTGCCAACTTCCCACGGATGCATCACCGCGCGAGCCAGCGTGTAACGGCGAACGCATCCACGTAAATGCAGCACAGAAAGGTGACCCGCCAGGCTTCAGCTTGAAGTGAGTAAAGATATGTTTACACTGATGTCGGCAAGAGTTTCTGAAACTGTGCAAAACGAAGCCACAGTCTCAATCGAAAAAGCTCGACACTGGTTCGCATGCCGGTAGTCGCCGGTCCCTCAAAACCGCACAACACTATAGACCCTTGCCGTTTTCTCCCCCAGCAGGAGTGAATTTGCTTCGTATGGGCTGTTGAATATACTGTAGAGTTCAGAGGAGAGCTTCTCGAAGACTGCTCTACAACAGCAAACCATATGCAATTGGAACGATGCAGGCCCGCAAGTTGAGAGAAGTAGCAGTCGAAACGCCCTTCGCTGTCCCCTGTGCCTTAGTACATATAGTCAAGCAGGGAATTCATATTAGAGAGCAATGCCGAGGAAAGACAACAGGGAAACAGTAGTTCGTGGCAATCAGTCAGTGGCCAAGCAGCTGGCGGTGCAGAAGGGGCTAAGAAAGGGCTTGTAGTGCACAGGCACTGCAATGCATCTCAGGCGTGACCTCTAGAGGCCTAATATCAGGGAAGGGAATAAATACAATTAAAAATTTTAGGGATTAGGTCACTATTAGTTAGGAAAAGGAATAAATACTATTAAGTATTCCAGGGATTCGCGTACTAATAGATAGAGTCGTAGCTTAATAGGATCAGTGTGCTGCCCTGCCGCACCAGCTCGTGTAATGCAGTGCTCAGGCACTACTAGGGATCCCTCTAGAGACCTATTAACTGCAAAAGAAATAAATACTACTTAATTTATCTGTGGTTGACACCTTCAGATAGAAAGGCAGCTTTATAGGATCAAAGGGCTATCCAGCCGCACCGGCTGGTGATTTGGTGACTTGGTGCGTGACTGTTGCCCGTCTCTGGCGCTGACCCCAGCGAATGTAGGGGGTCGGTTCCATTATTTTTGAGCAGTCTGTTCCATTATTCTGGGTTTTCCCCTAGTTAATAATGGAGAGTCAAACACGTTTTGGAAACTTAACTACCGATTAGAGGGAACGCGTGTGGATAGAGAGTGGAGATTCGATATCCGGTGCTCTGTGTGACATACGTAGTCACAGCGAAGGACCGCTGTGCACTACAGGGCTGAAGCCAAGCCCCAACTTCCAAAGGCTTCCACCGCCTCGCAAGGGCAGCAGAGGCTGTTCGATGTAATATCACTGGTTTGATACCATACGGATTCATTCCATGATGATGGACGCAAAAGGATTCAGAAGAGCCATAATACAGCTAGTGAAGAACGGCTGTTGAGGCAAACACAAAAATGCATGATCGGTCCTCCAGCGATACAAGCATCATGTGAGGCTTATTGTGCGTTTCCCGCACAAATTGTAACTTTTACTTGAGCTGTTTGATTTCTGGGGCCTAAGACGGCTGAATTCGTTGCTGTGTCAGCGTTGGTGGGTGCTCATGGGGGATCCTGGACGCCGAAGTGTACGATGCGGCCTTCTCTTTTTGCGTGTGCTGTGCTGCCATGTGCAAATCTTTGCATTTGGTGTAAGGCCAAACATACTGAATTTAATGGAAGGCACATACTTTACTCTTCAACACTGCCTCCTCAACAGACTCTCTCAACTTGGGGTGGCCTATCGCTAAGAGTGGTACGCTAGGACATACGAGGGAGACCTGACTGCACAGAATGTGGTCCACATGCTTGAGTGCGTAGTAACAGATGTTCTAGATTTCCTTGTAAGTAGTCCGCCTACTGAAGGACCTCCGCTATCTGAGGGTCCCCTACTAGTGCTGGTAGACGCCTCATGCATCTTAATAGATTTTAACAGCCACGGAGCTGCATCGAACCTTCCATTTCTATGGAGGCGGACGCGTGTAGGTTTGACATTGGATCCATGCTAGGTGGCGCTGCCGTCCCCTGCAGTAACCAGCAGACGAGTTCAAGGAAGCTATAACAGTCACTTACGTCGGTAGGATGGCTAGCTCCGGAGAAGCTACTGTCGAAATTGAACACTGGTGAGGTGGGAAGTGACACCCGATAGTGTCCGCAGTGGACCCAGGAACAGCCTGTTCCTGGCTGAGTGCCTGCAGGATGAAGCAGTGCAGCTCGTAGGGACACTATGAAGTAACGTTCCTCTTCGAGTGAGGCTGTCACGGGAATTGTCTTGCAGCATCGGCTGTGATGCTCACCAAACATATACTCGGCATACAGAAAGCAAGTACGAGGACTATGCCTCCAAAGGTGGGCGTTTCACTACTACGCCAATCATGTAGACAAGTTCCCTGTACCAAACAAGGAATTCGCTTTTAACATAGTGCAGGCAAACTGAATCAGTCACTGAGATGGACTGGCATCAGTTTGTGGTTTACCCTTCGACACCCCGCTACTTCTGCAAAGCATGCGTGTTCATCAAGCCGGGTCTATGGTGCGGTGAATTGCAGTTAACCAAAGCATTTCCGAGAATGTATCGCCAGAACTACAGGTCTTTGTAAGTCTAGCCTAACCAAAGCAGCACCTGGCAAAAACGTCTGACAGGGAGACAGGCTTACACGCGCCTCAGCGTATGGTCAAAGTCAGCATGCACAGCCGCGCTACAGCACCACAGAAAACTTGTCACTGACAGAGTCCACCTATCCCAGCAGCTCTAAAATAGCTTTTCATATGCCTTCAGGTTAACCCCAAACCAAACTTGGGAAGACACAATGGCGTAACTCTTGTCAGAGACCCGTACAGCAACATACACTGTCAGTCTTTGACGTCCTTCCAATTCAGTCAGAATCAGTCATCCTCTTCAGCCTTAGCTACATCGGGCATGCTAATGCATTTAGACGACTCAATTTATTAATAGGGTCTTCAGTCTGGAAGCCCAGTGACTGAACGGAAAGTTTGTTTGGCCTTATTATTAGTAGTATATGCCAGGTGTTTATGCTTTCCGTAGATAATGCCCTGGATGCGGCAGGAAGGATTACTTATAGGCTGCGGTATCCTCGGTTGGGAGCGTTTGAAGTGTTTCTGCGCATTCCCTCTATCAACAGAAGAATTGTAGGCTAGTTCATTTTACCGTTAAAAGGAGAAGCAACATTATCCATTTGGTCGTATACAGTGGAATGCGTACTGGTCTGGGATAGCTTATCTTTCTGCTTCCCTGCTCCTTGTAGAAAACCAAGAGTTAGGCAGCTTAGGGAAAACGAAAGAAGTAAGTTAAGATTCATGAAAGCCAAACGCGAATGCAGCACAAATTCCTCGCGGAAGCCAGTTGCGTTGCAATGCAGCAAATCTTCTCTAAACTAACTTGCGGTAAGTGGCCGACCCCGGATGCCATCGCACAGCGTATCCAGCGAGCATTGCAACAGCCGCCCAGCCTTCTAGAAGATGGACCGCTTGCCCCTCTAAGAGTTGTTGGCCCTGTTTCTCATCAAGCTTCTCACACCCCTCCGAGCACAGCTGTACGTAGCTTCTTGCCGATGCACCATAAAAGAAGAGCATCGGCTTCGGTGATTTCACTTTTCAAGGGGATGAAGCGAAAAGCCAAAGCTGCTATTCTCTTCCTCGAACACTTTCACTCCGAGGGGGATGGCCCAAATTCCAAATGAGTATAGCTTGTCTGGGTGTGCTGTTGCAGGACCCTTCATCCCGCATATTTTTGCCAGGGGGGGGCAATCATCAGTTGAATTCAGAACCGCAAGGCGCCGCAGTTGTCCCAAAAACAAATGAACAAGAGTCCATAGATCATGCTGCAGGTGAGGCCATTGGACTGCCACATGGTGGGCCTTGATGCCTAAGAAGAGACGTGGCCTGAAAACACATATCTCTTTGTCGCCTTGATACAATGCCATTTCGAGATAAGCAACATATGTATTGCCTGCAGCTGATCAGCCTGTGCATGCCTCCACGAAAAGACAGAAAAAACCCGAGGATAAGCGCAAGGGGAATGAAGATAAGGGTACTGAAGATGCCTCCGGCAAAGCTGGCGGTGACGTCACCATAGATTCAGAAGTAGCTAACTCTAGCAGGTCCGGAGAAAAGCCCAAGAAAAGGCACAAGGATAAGCAAGAAGGTTCAAATGCTGAGGAGCCGAACAGTGCAAGTATAACGGCGGAACACAGCCACGATAGCGAGCACCCATCGTCAACACTATCTTCAGATAAGGCGAAGAAGCACCACAAGCCAAAACACAACAAAGATAAGAGCGAAGGCAGCCAGGAAGCAAACGAAAACAGTGATACCCAAGCTGAAACCGGCGCCGTGGGTACTGGCGACTCTGCTGAAACGGGTGAAAAGAAGAAAAAGAAAGCCAAGGCTAAAGAAAAAGAAGACAATGACAAGGGAGACGAAGGTGCAGGAACAAAGTCTGACACAAAGAAGAAGAAAAAGAAAGCGTCAGATGGGGAGGTGGATGCCGAGAGGCCGTCTGATGAGCTGCCAAAAGAAGAGCCAAAGAAGAAGAAGAAAAAGGACGAGGATAAATCTGCTAATAGGGATCATGGCAGTAACGAAGCTGTCTCGGAGAAACAGGTGGAGAGCAAGGAGGAAAAAGTCAAGGAGAAAGACACTGCTGAAAAGCTCGAAGCACCAGGCGGGGAGTCTGGAAATGCCTCAGAAAAGAAGAAGAAAAAGAAGAAAGATGGCGCAAAAGATAGTGCCTCGCCTCACGAAGAGAGTGACGGAGAACCACCAGCAGCAGACTCAAAGAAGAAAAAGAAAAAGAGCGACGAGAAAAAGGAGGCTTCGGAGACACCTGACGGGCATGACGACTCGTCAGGCGCTCCAGATGCGAAGAAAAAAAAGAAGAAGAGTGATGAGAAAAAGGGGGAAACAGAAAAGCATGACGGGTGTGAAGACGGGTCAGGTGTTCCAGATGCCAAGAAAAAAAAGAATAAGGATAAAGGCGAGGAGCACGGTGCAGCAGGAGAAAATAAAGAAGGTGCTATGGAGGACCATAAAGGGGACAAGCCAAAGAAAAAGTCAAAAAAGGAGAAAAAGGACTCAGCGAACGATGGCTCGAATGAGACAGGGGAAAAGCACAAATCTAAAGGCAACCCCCTTGCAAACTGCTCAAGCCGTAAGTGCATTCAGTTCCCTGTACGTAACTTTCTGTGCTCGAAGGCAGCCTTATGTGCTTTGGTGGCGATTCGTCTTCAGATCCTGCTTGCACAGTAACACGGAACTACGAGTTGACTTTCCCCGTGGGAGCGAAGCAAACTCAAGTGCGGCTGCTCTAAAAGCAATCAAGAATGGCACCAGCGCGTAATATATAGTCGTATTGTTGTTTGATGGCACCAACACTGCTTCAACCTCACTAGCGTAGGCTTAAGTACCCGAAATGCTTGATAGCATCCTTAGATTAATATTAAACAAGAACCGAAGGATAACCTGGCGTCTTCAGAAACTTTCGTACCAAAATCCTAAGGAGGAGGGTTTAAGCATTACCATTGCTTCATCGGATGAAACTGTCATGACTCCTAAGTAAGCTAACTCCGTACGAACAGCCTGTGCACAAGTCACGGCACGACACTAGCAAGACTGCTCGGTGGGTCCCGGCAAGGCAAATTCCCTAAAATGAACAGCATTGTCTTTACAGGAAACACGAAATGACGTTGGCGCCCGGCGAGAGCGTGAAGATCCCTGTTGCATTCCAAGAGGTTTGACGCAGAGTTGTTACCCGTAGATCAAACGACGGGGATCCGAGTTGGTGCTGCGCTTAAAATAAAGGATGTCCACTTAGTTCGGGATTCGATGGTGCAGGTCTCTGAGGCATGCGAAAAGACGGTTTACCTGTACATGCTGCATAAGGAGTCCGAGAAAATATTGTAAGGCAGTCCATAGATCTATCAGAACGACTCAGCTACGGTTCGCGTTCACTGCATCCTACCAAGCGTACAAGACGACTACTGCGCCATCTGCCACACTGGGTTGCGTTGCCGATGAGTTCTGGTGCTATTCTGCGAACTTGTTATCGGGATGATCAGTATATTTTGAACCTAGGCTATCAGTGGCAACTGTGGTGGAAGGCACTAGACTTCATAATTCGACAGTGGCTAAGCGTCTCTGCCACCTTTCGGCTAATCAGAGAGCGGTGTTGCAACTTTCTGTTCGCCCTCAGGGAATGCGTCGAAATATCCCTCACTTTCAAGTAAACGCCGCAGACAGCAGGGCGCCATGGCCAGGAATCGCCAATCAATTTTGGATATACTGTTCCCACGATCGCGGCTGCCCAATTCTTCAGGCTCTCCACTGAAAAGTGGTGTCCCAAAGGATTTAGAACTTGCGGCAGAAGCTGCAGGTGATGGAGGCTTCATTATCTAAGAGCCGATATGGGCAACATAAGAGTGGATATGCCAGTCCTAAGAGCGGACACGGCAGCCTCTACTCATGAGTTCATGGCGCTCACACCTTGAGATGCGTGTGGCAGGCGTCCAGATGCAGGTTTGGGCCCTTGCCCTTCTCCAGCAGTTGCCCCCATGCATTTCTTCTTTGCATATGGATCCATTTGTTTTCCGGTGCCTCGCAGCCGATAGACAAAGTTGACTCCCATCTACAGCCATCTGAGGATGTCGTGGTTGCATGCAGCTGCCATGCATGATGTGCATGGGAAAAACTCTGTACCCAATACCAGGGAGGAGTACAAGTATAACACTTTCCGTTGGTTGCACTAGGTGGGCATGAACGGCATTTATCTTCGTTGCTGTAATCAGCCCGTAAACCAAATGCACAATGGAAAAAAAATGTCGTATGAGCATTGACGCTCCACGCCGACGGCTACATGCTGCCCTTAGAGTGGCGTGTTCGCATTAAACTGTGGCCTCCCAATCCACGGCGCAGAATACCCCTGATGAACATTCATCCCTAATAGTTTACAGCCTGTGTAGCTTCTCGTTCATTCGATGCGTTGGCATTTGCCCCTAAGATACAGTGTCACCTAAGATACAGTGTCCAATTTGCAGCTTGGAACTATTCCTTGATTTCCAGGCCAACTGCTGGAATTTCACCTCTAGTGCCCCGCAAGATCAAATTCTAGTATAGAACGCAGAAGCAAGGCAGCAATGTATAGGCGAAAGTGGTGGAAGCGAGACAGCGCGGATAGGTGGGACAGCTCTTCTATTTCTTTCTCGAGCTGCCTCTTCACAACGCGCGCATGCCACAGAAACGAAAAATTGTGTAGAGAAATTTAGCGCCATTGAAGCCCCTAGTGATTCTATGGAAATCTCTGGCGCGAAGCAATGTAGCGCGCTAGAGTACTCATTACTGCCACTACAGACCTTTGTGCCCCTCGGTTTAGTGCCTTCCGGCTGACGACGAAGAAACACTCCAATATGGCGTAATTTAACTTTAAAAGACGCTCTCATCCTCTCATGTTTGAACCTTATAGGGGTCAGTGCCACAGCACAGAGAGCGCCACTCTGCTCGGAGCGACTTAAGGCATTACGGACTTCTACGGGAGGCCCAGTCCAAAGCATTGGACCTCCGAAAGTGAGGACGACGAGCTCGACGAACACAGAAGGAGTAAATTAGCTGGTAGGACGTAGAAAGCACAAATGGCAGCGCAACCAGATAGGCAAGACAGTAGGGAGCCTCACTTCCCTGAAAGGTCCGAACTAAGGAGGTGACGATGAGACGAAACAGATAGCAAGGCAAGGTTGGGAAAGCTAGGAACACTCCACACCAGGGATGGGGGAATTAGTCCTAGGCGGGTGGAATTTGTAGTACATAGGCACTACAATAGGCTCTCCGCCAAGTCTAAAGGGAGTGCATTCGTCATAAAGCGCAAAATAAAGAGTATTTAGTATTTAATAGGGAGTTTGGTATACCACAATTGTGATCGAACTGGCACCTCGTGCCTACACACCTTGGAGGCAAGCGCAGCGGGTTAGCAATTCCCACGCTGTAAGAGGATGAGGCGCTCGGTTCGTCCTCCCTGTGAGACGGATGACTTTTAAGAAACCGGCTTTTTTAACCCCTAATAATCGGGGCATGGTATTTTACCGTTTCTAAACTACTTGTAGCTATTTGTAGCGACTGAAACTGTATAAGCGGTGTGTACCTAAGTTGCTCAGGTTGGAGAATCACGTAGTGTCAGCTGGGTGACTGGGCTGTTCAATACACCAGTCCCCTGTAAGGCTGCTGAACACTCTTGTACCCTTGTTTGCAATTCATGGTGACTCCTCCACTTGCCGTCATTCTCTCTACCGCACACCGGCTGAGTCGGTGCCTTGTCCTATTCGGCTGACTGTTGACCCTTCCTGGCATCCTTGGTTTCTACTATCGACCGATTCGTCACATCAGGCAACGTCCCTTCTCACTTTAGGGAGACTGGAATGGCATTAGGTCCTGCCGCCACTGTGCATATCACCCCTGTACCATAGGTACGCAGCCTATTACGTTTGTCTCCTCCTAGATTTAGGATATCTCGTATAAACGTCCATTTGTCCCCCCTTAGGGTTAGATCACTGCGATCCAGGCCCTCTCCTAGTATCCACCCTCCACTGTCCCCTGTGCCCCTGAGGTAGGCAATCTTTAGTGTGGTGTCCCACGCGTCCACACCTCCTACACATGTTTCCTTTTCGCTGTATGGCCTGACTTCTTGAGAAGCACTGGCGCTTGGTGTGACCCCTCCCCTAACATTCATAAAAGGTAATTCCTTTGCTTTCTCACTGCGTGTGTGGGTGAAAGATTTCACTACTTCGCGAGATTACAGCCGTGCGTGTTCCTTACCTTTCCATCTCTCCCCTCAACTTCCTCTGTGCCCGCCCAGCGTCGTCCAGTCTTTCGGTTATCGTTCCCACAACGGTGGTAGTTTCTTGCCAGGTGTGGTATACTCTCTGACAGTCTCTCGTCAGACCCGGGACAGTCCGATAAGTCGGTGTTACTGTACTGCAGATGCAGCGAGTAGATTTAGGCCTTCCAAGACAAATAAGTATTCATCACCACTCCCCACCTCCTGCCTGCTGTCCCAGATACAACATGTGCAATAGGCTCATGACACTCCACATATTTAGCCCAGCTTCCGGGGTTAGGCTCCTCATGGGTCTTCGTTGATGGTCTTTTATCTGGTGTCTTGCGTCCCTTATATCATCTTCGGGAATATAGGCTAGGCTATTGGGTTCCTCAGAAATGAGCATGCGTCTGGGAGGTAAGTCTTCGGATTCCGGCATTTGTGGCATTCTACTGAAGAAATAGGTGTTTCTTCGTCACTAGCTCCTACTTAACTTTCTGTCTCGTATCTGGGCGTCCTCTATTCCCCAGAGGCCTGTCTCCTGTATGCATCAATTTCCCTCCTGTCCCGTAGTCGCATGTGCATGCGTGCCTCCGGCAGCTAAGCTACGGCAGCAAACCGGCTCAGTGGCTCCTGCAATCTCTGGGTCAACATGTTATACAAGGGATCCCGGGTTTTACTTCCCTGGAAGCCCCCAAATGTAGTACACAGCTCGCGCTCAGCAGCGACTACGTAGGTCCGCAGATCAAGCTGTACTGTGCATGTAAATCGTTAGACGCGAGAACCAGACTCTTACCCCTAAAATAATCCTAGTCGAGTTTATGAACCAATACACCAACAAAAATCAGTATATATAGGCAGTAGGAGATCCAAAATAGATATGTCTCGCCATGACCTGGTGGGTCAGCCCCTCAGCGACCTCCAGCCAGTTCCAAGACTCTGACGGGCCGTTGAATCTCGTCGCTGGTTTACCGTATTTCATGCATACGTGCTCTAAATTAACACTAATAATATGTTGATATCATTTTCTTTAGCCAAATACACCTCTAGATGCTTCACAAGATGAACCATTGTGGCGCCTGTGCACTACATGTGGGGAAGTAGCACAGGCCGCTAGTTGGTATTGAGCTGACCTCTCGGCGGCAATAAAACTTACTAGTATGTAAAGATTATGAATTTGAGGAGGTGTACAGTTTATTTAGTATTCAGCTTGGCTCAGCCACCCGCGGAGGCTTAGGTGGGTGCCGAGCTGGGCCTGGCGCACTACACCCGCACCTGTAGTCCGCACACTGCTCGGACAGCTTGGGGCATAGCGAAAGCAGCCAAGTTGTGTGTTGGCCGTGTGTGGGTATAACATTTTGTGCCTGTAGAAAGCTTAACCAACTTGTATAGAAGTAAGCCATTTGATCAGCGCAGTTGGTCCACGTAGACCTCGTTTGTTCCCCCCTTAGCCTGGCAGCGCTCCCCCCTCCTTGGTGTGGTACTTTATCCCCCCTGTCGGTACTAAGGAGGGTACCGAGGAGGGATATTTTTGTTTTTCCATATGTGTTTTGTTGCAGGTTCTAGGTTGTTTCGGCTTTTTTGTTGGCCACTCAAGAAAATGGCGAACCCCTCGCACTCCCAGGTTATCGCGGCCCCCGACAGCTCCGGCCGCCTGCTGCGTCTGGTCAGCGCAAGCTCGGTTATGATGCAGTTGTTGGGCAAGAGCACCAACATCCGCATGTCTCAGATCCTTGAACATCACGAGGATGAGGATTTTAGAGCACATCGCACAAAGATTGTGTGCACCATGGGCCCCAGCTGCTGGGATGTGGATAAGATGGTGCAGCTCATCGATGCAGGGATGAACGTGTGCCGTCTGAACTTCTCCCATGGCGATCATGAAGCCCATGGACGCGTGGTGAAGAACCTCCAGGAAGCGCTGAAGCAGCGCCCTGGGAAGCGTGTTGCTCTGCTTCTGGATACCAAGGGCCCAGAGATCCGAACGGGCATGCTGGAGGCAAGTACCTTCGTCCCACCGAACGACACTGGCGAAATTCATCCATCGCATTGCAGGAGGTATAACACACTTTCTGCCGTTGTCTTGTCATTGGGTTTGTCCACAGGGTGACAAGCCCATAGAGCTGAACGCTGGCGATATGCTCAAGATCGTCACCGACTACAGCTTTATTGGCAACAAGAGCTGCATTGCTTGCTCCTATGACAAGCTCCCCACCTCGGTTAAACCAGGTATGTGACACGCTGTCCATAAGTATCCAGCTCTACTTGGGTCGTAATTTGTGTAGGAGGATGTATGCATGAATTCTCCTCTAGTTGCACCAGGCGGGCGTTCAAAGTTGTATTTATTTTCAGGGAATACCATTCTGATTGCTGATGGTTCCCTCTCTGTGGAGGTTGTTGAGTGCGGAAAGGACTACGTCATGACGAAGGTGATGAATCCCGCGGTAATTGGCAACAAGAAGAACATGAATCTTCCAGGTGTGAAGGTCGACCTGCCGGTGATCGGTGAAAAGGATAAGAATGACATCTTGAACTTCGGCATACCCATGGGCTGCAACTTCATCGCGGCGTCTTTTGTACAGTCAGCTGATGACGTGCGTTACATCCGAAGCATTCTTGGGACCAAGGGACGAAACATCAAGATTATTCCCAAGATTGAAAATGTGGAGGGTCTGCTAAACTTCGACGAAATCCTCCAGGAGGCCGACGGTATTATGATCGCCAGAGGTGATCTTGGGATGGAAATCCCACCAGAAAAGGTCTTCCTTGCCCAGAAGATGATGATTTCAAAGTGAGTGTCTGCTTTTCTGACCCTTCCCTCTTCATGCGGACCGTAGAGAGGGAGGAATGAGGTGTGCTCGTGCTTGGCGGGTCTGAGACTGAGGAATTAAGTATGCATTCCTGCCATTTGTTTTCTAGGTGCAACGTTGCGGGTAAGCCTGTGATCACGGCAACACAAATGTTGGAGTCGATGACTAAAAACCCACGCCCCACGCGTGCGGAGGCTGCGGATGTGGCGAATGCTGTTCTGGACGGCACGGATTGTGTTATGCTTTCTGGCGAGACAGCAAACGGAAGCTTCCCCGTGCAGGCGGTCACGGTCATGTCTCGTGTCTGCTTCGAGGCAGAAGGCTGCATTGATTATCAGCAGGTATTCAGAGCTACCTGCCAGGCAACTATGAGTCCTATTGATACTCAGGAAGCCGTGGCACGCGCAGCTGTGGAAACAGCCCAGTCTATAAACGCATCGCTGATTCTTGCGCTCACCGAGACAGGCCGCACCGCCCGTTTGATCGCGAAGTACAGACCTATGCAGCCTATCTTGGCTCTCAGCGCTTCGGAAGAAACCATTAAGCACCTGCAAGTTAACAGGGGCGTGACAACCCTGCTGGTTCCGTCGTTCCAGGGCACGGATCAGTTGATCAAGAATGCGCTCTCTGCTGCCAAGGAGATGCAGCTAGTAAGCGAAGGCGAAAGCATTGTTGCGGTCCACGGCATGAAGGAGGAGGTTGCTGGCTGGTCGAACTTGTTGAAGGTCCTGGTTGTTGAGTAGAGGACCAGTCACCTCCTTGCGTGGTCGTTTGCTGGCAGCGCATCCCAAAGATCTTAGGGCCAAACAGACGACAGTTTTCTCAAATGCTGCCTGGGGCAATGTTTGATGTTTCCTTGTGTGACAGTTTTGTGTAAACAACCGTATTTAAAACATAGTTAGGCGTTCTTAGCGTTGTTTGGCAGGGCCCCAGGAGGGGAACTATGCCCCTCCACGGGAATAGCAGGTCTCACGGGGTTACCGCCAATCCCCATATATGGACAGCGGATGCCCGAGTAATGCAGAAGAGTTAGTCTACGCTGCTGCAGGCACTACTGTGCACACAGCTAAGATGGGAATGCAGGGGAAGAGCCCCTTGTCACGGGACAACAGCTGAAGCGTTCTTTAGGCAATCATGGTCAGTGGCCTGCTGATCGCAGGTAGAGCATGTCTCCATGAATGGGTTTGGGATGTGGCAGAGGTCTGCCTCCTCCATCAGTAACCGTAGTTCCTGAAGACAGACAATGAACAGCCCCCCTAGAGCCTTGAGCGTACCCTAAACAGGCACCCGGTGGCTACATTGTTGAATAAGCACTCCACGAGCAATTACCTCAGTATCCAAATCTGTCCCTACAGGGAAGGTCGATGACAGTTGCTTAGCGACTGCTGGCAGCAACACAGTAGCGAAGATGTCGCAGAGAACAAAAAATTCGGCTTGACGCTTTGCAGAGCCTTCGCATCCACTTTCCTTTTGAACTAAGGCGTGTTCGACTGCATTTATCTCGTCTTCAAAGGCCCCGCGGCTTCCTGGCTTCACGGAAATAAGCTTGCGAATGCAAAGGGCGAGCAGGTTTCTTATCAGGGTCATAACACCTGCTGCTGTTGTGGATATAGGGCACTCCTGAAAGGCATTGGCTACTTCAAGCGTGCTGTTGTAGAGATTTGATAGGGGTGCATGCCGCAGCAGGAAGACACAGGAACGGTTAGCAGACAGAGCAGAATGGAACCAAGGCGAGGCCCCCAGAAGGCTCAAATGAGCCGTTGAGGGCAACCAGTCATACTCATCGATGCTCTGTAAGCAATCACGCCAAAAAATGCCCTGTTGAACCTTATATGCATCGCCGGTGAAGACACGTTTCCAATGGGCGGACTCGAAATCAGATAGGAGACAACGTTGATTAGATCTGGTGTGTTATCTCACCTGGGAGAAGGCAACAGCAATGCCTTCAACTCTTTGTCGATGCACTGCGGCAACATAGCGGTCGAATGCGAGGGCCACTACGGGGAAGAAGTAGCACTGCACTCGGCGGAATGCGGAGGCCGCATTATACACCTGCCTGAATATCGTTGCCAAGTCCAATAATCCCACTCTGAAATTTGGTACATTCCGCAAATTCGCCTGTGCGACACTTGCTTCAAGGGCTGCAAGATCCAGCAAAGGTCCTATTCCCTTGAAATCGTCAGCTGAGTCTGCTATGCCAGAGCGTTGCAGAAGCTCTTTATCAACTAGCGTCACAAACCAGTGCACCTGCTCTGCCAGCCATGCCGACAACCGGCCGTCCGTGGAACCGAAAATCGCCCTATTAGCACGCATGCATTACAGGAGCAGGACTGCAACTTAGCTAGGAAAGAATAAAGGCCTCGCATAAGCAACAAACACTTTTTCAGGTGGGCCTGGTGTTGTTTAGGGACGCTTGACAGGAAAGCGGTCTCACCGGTAGTTTATAGCTGTCTGCAAAACATCCACCCGAAGCAGCTCTGATGCCGCGCACAAACCACTGACGGCAGGCACAACCACAGTGATGCTTTGCGGCGTTACGTAGAGTGCCTAACCACACCTATAAAAGTCGCCGAGTTACTGTGATTAAGGTAAAAGAGAAGCAATCGCATGGATAGCCCAATGCTGCGCGGTATACAGTTGTCACCTACTGGGCTGGGTCTGTTTCACACGATCCTTCCGCGTTGCGACGTTGCCGGGAAATCTCCGCATCCCGCCGTCGTAGGTACTGCATCCGCAACTGCTCTTCAGAGCAGCTCAGGCGGCGAAGTGGGCTGCAGTGGCACAACAGTCAAGAGGCATACCACAAAAAATGCATAAATCCGATGACACACTGGACTCGCTGCATTTATATCCCTGTGCTCAGTGGCTTAGTATTCTGCCCACAAAGGAGATCACCGACGAGCACGCTCACCCAATGAGTTTCATTGAAGGAGACAGCTGCGCATGCTGTCCCAACAGTCGCAGCAGTGTCTTCATGCAGCTAGTGCGTGCTTCCTTCATCTGGCAGGTATGCACGAAGGCGGGAGCATGCACAACTGCATTCTGGTGCACTTCCTTAACGATAAGCATCGAGCTGTCCCGATCTGCAGCTAAACCGACGCAGCTATAAAGTGCCTTACCTGCATTTCGAGGAAATCGACCAACGGCATGTCGCCGCAGCCGCTAGCTCTCAGGGAGGTTATGCGCTGTAAAGAAAAACGAGCATGAAATGCAGAGCTAAGAATTAGCCATTACGCATGCAGAGGGAAAGGGAGAATGAACATGTGCTCAGGGATAAATTTGCAGGGGAGACTACAACCTATACACACTTCGTCTGCCAACATCAGAGCGTCCACTGCTTCATCGTGCAACCCTCCGTTGGAGCACTTCAACACGAGCGACGGCAAGTCAAGCAGCTGAAATTCACATGAAGACACAGCAATGCATCTTAGAAGCAGCCAGGTCACAAACTCACATATCCATGCCTAATAATGGCTAGAGTCAGATGTCTATTGCATTTGCGGTGCCTTAGTTAGTCAAAAGCCGTGGAACGCACCCCTGATACCGACGACTGCGTAGAGACAAGGGTATGAAGGGAGGCTTCATCCGTCGACGCTGCATTGCTCTCAGTACCGAATTGCTGCCAGGACAGAACGTGACGACAAAAGCACTTATTGCAGCCGGACATGCTGTGTGCAAGCTAGCACTATACACACCAAATTGAGGGGAGCAATTACCAAAAACCCCATATCAAATCTCACCTTGAGACAGCTGTGCAACGGTTGAATGCAATGCTCCATTTCAGCTAGCGTAGCGGACAGACTGTTGATCTGGAAACACACAGCATCAACCAGGTTCCGAGATTCTCCACTTACCAGAGCCTTGTGTGAAGCCATAGCCAAAACAGCCTAGTTACATCCGTGGCAGTGCTCACTGCTTACACTGCTGCTGAGATTACTGAGTGCCTTAGACGAAGCCAGAAATAATGAGCAGTTCTGCACCGCCAATTCGTCTTGAACGTTCACTAGCTTCTCCACTTGTGTGTGCAGAAGAGCCTACAGCGAAGATCCAACACAATCGAAATACGCACGACCAGCTACACCACTTGAGGAGGCTAGTTCTACCTATCACCTCCCTTGTTCCGCGAGATGGGTTAGCGCCGGTCGATTTGCTGAAAGGCCACGTTACCGGCTGTCTGCACAGGTCATCGCTCGCCATCTTTAGAAACTCTTCAATCCCAAGACTCTTCGCCATGTCCAACTGAGTCCTATGGTGAGCATCGAGTTGTTCGGAGTAGGCCGTTTCGTGCTTGGGTTTACTCGGCACTGCGTGCTTGTTCGTCCCCCAAAAGTCCCCCAGCTTCATCGCCTCATCCTTTCCAAAGCCATGTCCCCTATCCACTGCTGAACAGGCTGATGCCATTTCCTCCCCCAGGAGAAGCTGCCAAAATTGCTCTGATGGGGCCATTTCTACACTGGACAGACCACCCAGAGCGGAACGAGCTTGCGTCCCCAGCGAGCCTTCTTAAGTTTTGAAACACACACAAATAAGAAGTTCACCTCTCTTCTCAAATGTGACCTAGATCCTACAGAGTGGGATACAGTGGAGCGCATTCGGAGGCACCTCTGCATGGGCGGTGCCGCCTGAGCAGGTGGCGCTTTAAAGTTCCGCTGCAGGCCTGCATGGAACCCCTACTGTTATTCCAAGCCTCGAAACATGAGATCGAATAGACTAGTTTCTGGCTCGTATACTGGTGTGTGGGGTGGTAGTTCAATATCCGCGGTGTTCGCGTCCCCCAGATATCGTTGAGTTCAGGGACAGTTTAGTCCCAACTCATCGCCCCGACGAGAAGCAAGTAAAGTAGAGCAAACGGTTGCTCCTAATGAAATAGTTGTAAAACTGAGCGGGGCTAAGCTGTGTTGTGGGACGACTGCCTGTATTGTCGTGCAAGTGGCGGGTTTGGGGCCCGTGATTGCAGGCCAGGGGCCCCAACAGTGGCCATGTCTTGAAGAGATCTCCACGATTTTTTTTTTATGAGTTCGCGCTCGCAAGTATTTAGTTTCTGTAATTACTGAGATCAAACCGCTAGGCGACAAAAGGCAGATTTCTCTCGCTTTGCGCCCGAGCGTTCGAACGACTACAATCACCGCCAGATGTGGCAAATCCATACTGAATTGAAGCCCTACTCGCCAGCAGGATCTCATCTTGAAGCATTATAGAGACAGTCATCTTGATATGAGGCGTTCTGTAGGGCCGAGGGGCAGTGAAGCTTCCCAGACAGCGGAGCGCGGGAGCATACTAAAATGTCACGGGTGGAATGGCATCCGTGATATTGTAGTATGCTGAAACTGCCGGCACACCACCAACCTATTGAAGTGCCACAGAAATACAAACGCTAAGAGGCACTTGAAATACTAATCCCCTCCGGGTGAACCAGAGTACTGCCTCCATTGGCCCCAGAAATCATGGCGTCTATCAAGGTTATGAGCAAAAGGAGTGCGTGGAAACACTAGAGGAAAGGGCCCCAGCAAGATCAATAAGAGGCAGTTGAATGTAGCATTTACTTGGGAATGCATCCACTAGGCCATGATCTCTGAAAGCTGATGCCTGTGCACTGAAAGGCGACCTTGTGCAGGATTGCTCGACGGAATGGTCCGCAAAGTTGGTGGTCCAGGGAACTACATCGCCATGGTTGTGGATGACAAGACCCTTAATGTTTTGTCTTCATGTTGTAGCGTCTATGACGTCCTCTACGATGGGGTAACAAGTACGTGCAGGAAGTATCGCTTTTGCCACGACGCGCTTGTTGAATGCATCAAAACGTCCCATTCCCGAATTTGTGCTCCCAGTAGAAGGTATTTTTAGTCTTTTCACAATGGAGGGTGGCTAATATTGATTTTTTTGGTGGAAATTTGACTGCTGCGCAGTTGTGGAGCTCATTTCAAAGCAGCGCCAGCCACTGCCGGAGTTGAACGCGCTCTACTTTCTCTCACCCTCCGAAGATTCAGTGCGGGCGCTTGTAGAAGACTTCAAGGATGAGAAGAAGCCACAGTACCGCTCAGCTTATGTGTACCTCACTTCCCGCATTCGTAGGCCATTCTTAGGGCCCCCCTTCACGGACATTTGTAGCCTCTACATGCGACGCTTCACGTTTGTAGCCTCTACATGCGACGCTTCACGTTTGTAGCCTCTACATGCGACGCTTCAAGAGCATACCTACATACCAACCAGTATTAGTCCTGTACCGATTCTAGACACAAAAAGAAGTGCATATGAGAAACTGGAGTTCTAGAAGCTTGGCTTTGTTGGACGTGATTAAGACTGAATGGGGTATCACTTGTAATGGCACAGTATCTTGGTTTTTGACACCGTTCATTTGCTCCTCTAGGACATGGGAAGTTCGCTGTGCTTTGGCTGCTCTTGCAGCTGACTCCAGCAAGATTATCGCAACATTAGCGGACTCTCCTACCTTGCTTCCTAGAATAAGGTGCCTCGTTGAATTCAACTTGAGTTTCATTGGTAAGCTTACAAAGCAGGCTGGATAGTCGGTGAGGCGTCTCTCTGTCCCTATCCGCAATCCATTGGCACTTGAATTGTTTTCTATGAGGGTCACGGGGAAGCTCTTTTTCTTGCATCGGAATATCTGCATCCGTCATGAAATTCGTTTGCTGCACCTGTGCTGCAGCATACGAACAGCGGGTTTTCCACTTCGGGATGCCGAATGCCTTACTTGAGCTGTTCCCTCTTCCTTCACCTTATTTGCTCCAGAAAGTAGCAGACGACGTAAGCGTGGAACTTCTCGCTATTTCTTTCTGGGATGCAACAAAATGAACTAGCTCAGGACACGCCAGTTTTTGTGTGTGACGGGTGCTATGGCTCAGCTTGTCTCTTTTTGCATCACTTCTGGGCAGAAGCCTGCAGTCCGCTACCACAGAAACCAGCTCCCATGGTGCGAGCAGCTGGCGACACTTGTTCACAGAGGCCTGGAAGCGGAGGAAGTTGCGGTGCGCTTGTTCACTGATTTCTTAAGGTATTTGCTCACAAACGGTACTTCTAGAGCAATTATATGGATCTGCGGAAGCATGTGTGCATGCGTTGTTGCCTTTGCAGCAGTCGGACAGCCCAGCTACAACTCTCCTTATTTTGGATCGCTCGGTGGACCTGGCACCTCTCTTTATTCACGAGTACACTTACCAGGTGAGAGAGTTTCCCGCTACTCACACGTGAACTCTAGCCCTAGTATGTTTGCAGCACCATGCCGTCCTAGTGGAATGCACAACAGCTTCATTCTATAAAGAACATCTGCTCCTCCTCTGAGCAGGCTCTGGCGTATGACGTTTTGGACCTTCCAGTTTGCTGTCATACGCCACCTAAGAAGGCTTCTCTCGATACGCCAATAATCATGGAGGACGTCTATGAGTACGCAGAAAATGCATGCATTGCCATAGGCATCTACAGAGAAGGGCGCTTTTGTATTCGATCTATCAACATATATAAAATGCATGAGAACACACACTGGTGGCAGCCTTGTCTTGCGGGTCTGCTCAGGTATGAGGTGACAAACAATATGGGCTTGGTTGAAAGGAAGAAGGTGAGCTGTTGAGGTATTAGTGTTGTCTGGGAAATTTGCTAGCTGCTCTCCTAACGTTCCATTGGAACGTGAAAAAGCTCTTGTCACCCATCATCCAACCCATCTTCCGTTGTGACCAGGCGATCCTTGGCGAGCAGGACGAAGTATGGGTTAGGTACCGTCATCAGCACGTTCAGGAAGTAAACCAAAGTGTCCAGGAGGAAGTGCAGCTCTTTTTAAAGGAGAATAGCACAGCCAAAGTGCAGCAAAATATGGTAGGGCGCGGTGCTAATGTCCTGCCCGTTTTTTGGACCGTGCATGGAAAAACCATCCTTGGCTTGTCATCATCCTACAGACGTGAATACCAACATATGTGCAATTACAGGCAACGACCTCAGAGGACACCCTGCAGGCGATTCGTTCTCTTCCGCAATACCAGGAGGCGCTATCTCGGGTACGACTGTGCGATCCTAAGTACTGAGTGCCTGTGGGATTGTTGGCAACCACTTCCTGCCCTCATCATGTGAGGTTTGCCTTGCCTGCGGTGAATCCTCAGTATTGGACCCACGTCACGCTCAGTGAGAAGTGCTTTGACAAACTTCAAGAATTGAAGATAATGACTGTTGGCGCTGTGGAGCAGGTATGGTTAAACGCATACTGAGGTCGACGTTTCAAGGCCCATGGAAATTTGGGCAAGCTTTGCGAGCATGTAGTTTGTTGAATGCTAAGCTTTGATTTGATTAACTGCAGTCTTGTTTTTTGCACTGCAGAGTATGCGCCGCCGTGTGTATGGCAGAGTATAGCTGCCCCTTTTTTCTTCCTTGCAGGATCTCTGCTGTGGGGTCGACAAAGATGGGAAGGAGATCAGCGCGTCAAAATTGCTTGCTGCTGTTGGGTCATTGGTTTCTGACGACACTATCCAGTAAGGCTTCCGGCACCGAGGACTCTCCGCATCTATGACATCAGAGATGAGAGGGGATGCTGCGACAAACCGGGTTGTGTCCGGCTCTTCAGACCTGATGAAAAACTTCGTCTGCTCCTGCTTGAGTTCACGCAAATCCTTGGTTTGGATCCTGCAGATCGGGCTAAGGTAAGTGCACGGCGAAGCCGCTCCTTCGCAGAGGCCTGTAAATCGGGCTTGGGAACACAAATTTCCTGCCGTGTGTCTCCTTTTCTCTGCAGGCAATGGAAACTGCTCAGATGAGCCTAGTGAATCAGCGTTGCATCCAAAGGTTCCTAGAACGTAGGTTGTTCCTGGCCTCAGCCTGCTGATTATTTAGCAGCTCGTACGCTCGCAAACATACTGCACCATGTGCACACTGGTTGCGAGTGTGTTGCAGTTGAACTTCACGCAGCTTCCTTGTCACGCGAACAAGCATCGGTACGGTGCCTGTGTAGGAGTGCAGCATAATGTTTTCTCTCATGAGATGAGGATGCTTGCCGCTGCACCAGTTTGCAACATTGGTCAGCATGCTAATGCCTGTGTTCCTCCTATTCACTTTTTGGATGAGCAGTAAGTTCCCGATAGTTTTTCATGGAATTGCTGTGTTGCATGCTTTCCTGGTACGATGAGCCTTTGGTAACTTAATTCAGAAGTCAAAACCTGCCCATCGTTTCGAAGAGGAACGGGACAAAATTCGATACTTCAAGCACCGGGCAAAACGAGCCCGCTATGATCTGTCGAGGTTTGAACCTGCAGTCCGCGAGATCATGGAAGTGGGTCACAGGCGAGAGCATAGAGTGTAGAAGTGACGGAGCTATTCTAAACTCTTTATGTGCCCGCTCAAGCTCTGTGATGTGCTGTGGAACTCAGAAAGCAATCGAGGGAACCCTGCATGGAGGTCGTTTCCCTTTTGTTGATGAGCCATCGTAAGCCTGCTGAAGTGCAGAAGAGTTGGAGAGGCTTTTTAATGCCCTCAGCATGTTCTATAGTGTATCTGCATCATGTGAGCTGTACTGCCCGTCTGCAGGAGAAGGATGGAAAACCAAGAACAAGCGCAAACGCAGCGAGGAAGTATGTCTTGCCAGTCCTCGGCTGTCCTGGTGGTGGCATGTTCCCCACTGTAGATCCCTAGCTTCGCGTTTCGCTTGTCCTTTCAGCCCTCACTCCGGGGTGGTGACCCTATTACGCTACCTTCTTTGCTGCAGCTGCAGTCATTGGCCGTTCGACAGAGTGGACGTGGGATTCGTCTCTCCCTGAGGTTGTTCAAAAGGTAAGCTGCTGCATACAGGAAGGTTACCTTCTACCCCTGTCGGTTCTATACATTGCAGCCCTGGCTTTTACGTTGCTGTTCCTACTACATGCAGCCGCAAAGTTCCTCGCTAGTTCCGGACAAATCAAAGAAGAGCCTAATAGTCTTTATATTAGGCGGGATCATGCAGTCCGAAATGAGATGCGCATATGAAGTGTCAAAGGAACTGAACTGCGAAGTGTTCATCGGTGGGCTTTGTTCGCTACATTTCCCCCGGCATCTCCTCCTCATGCTCCACGTGTACAGTGAAGCCACAATCCTGCTTGTTCGATGCAGCATCTCGCACTTTGTGATGCGGCTCGTAATGCGGCTGCAGGCGGCACAAATATTCTAACACCCACGCAAGTTCTCAAGCAGCTAAAGGAACAGGCGCCTGTGAACTGATTCCTATCATTTGCTTGATGTACATGGCAATCCTGTCTACTACCGTCGTTTCAGAACTTCTCTCAAGGATTTTTTTCCTTTTTTTTTTTCTAAATAATCCAGGAGCAGGCTTCAATTATATTACACAGCCCGCACTTGCCTGCCACTACTTGAGCCAACTAACTTAAACTATGTGGTGCACGTAAGCTATGAATCGTCAAGAGCCATATTCTACCCTAGACTCAAAATAAGCTCAGGCGTCTAGACAAATTTTAGTTCAAAAAGCAGGACCAGAATAGATCTGTTTCCCCTAGGGTGGGTCCGTGGCTCAGCGTCCCAGCCAGCCCCATGGCCAGGAGCTCGTCACCGGTTTGTTATAATTAATGTATAAATATTCTAAACTAAATTCACTTCTAATAATGTCCTATATCATTTCTGTTCGTGGATACAGAGGCTGAAGGCTTGATAGGTCGAACCATTGTAGTGCTTGTGCCCTACAGGATTGGCCTTGGCAGCTGTTCCCCACAGCCGTTAGTTGACCCGCACCCCTCCTTTGGCTACCGTCTGCATGCTTCTCTGTGGATTTTGAACAGCAGCTTAGCGCATATCTTCTCCTACGCGGTCGCCGAGTTTATTCCTTTATTTTTTTGCTTGGGGTTTCGGTGTTGTGTGAGTGGCAATATAGAGGATGCCAACCAAGCGCAGGAACGCCGGCCGCGCCAAACACGGCAGAGGCCATGTCAACCCCGTCAGGTGCAGCAATTGCGGCCGCTCTTGCCCAAAGGACAAGGCCATTAAGCGTTTTAACGTTCGTAACATTGTCGATGCATCTTCCTTGAGAGATTTGAGGGAGGCCTCCGCATACCATAGTACGTGATGCCACGAGTTCGACACACCCCCCACAGCAGGGTAGTTGAGGATATCTTGGTGTCCTCATCCTCGTTTCCTTTGTTGAAATTTGATCCTTCAGTATTAATCACTCCATAGCCGGGCTGGTGCTCACTGCTGCTGGGGTTCGGGTTGGTTTCTGGTGGAGGCGCCACAGCGCCGGACTCTTCTGTTGCTTGCACAATGCCTACTATCTGCTCAGTTTCTGCCGAATAGAATGTACATATTTTAGCTGCTGTGGGCTTCTCCGATTGTTGTTCTTCCAGATGGTTGCATCCCCGCGTCGTTTTAACACACAAATGTTTGGTCTTCGCTGTTGCTGTGTTTTGTTCTCTGTGTTGCTGCTGTGTTTTGTCTTCTTTGGTGCTGCTGTGTGTTTTGTCTTCTTTGTTGCTGCTGGATGATCAGCTGCGTAAGAACACTTCTTCCCAGCATGTAGTTTATGGCCGGGTCTCTTCTGGGTGTTCTAGGTAATAGTAGCTTGACTAGTACAGTCTTGGGATTTCATGTGCTTAGAGACTCAGGGGTCTTGCTCTGCTGCGTTGCTTGAGCCGAGATTTTGCGTTGGTGTGCTTGTTTGTACAGCCTACAACCTCCCCAAGTTGTACATCAAGCATTCTTACTGCGTATCTTGCGCCCTTCACTCCACTGTCGTACGCGTGCGCTCGCGGGAGAATCGCAGGATCAGGGCAAACCCACGTGCCAGGATCCAAGGCCCTGGCGGCAACATGGGGGGCAATCGCAACTGAAAAGCATTTAGTTGCAGGGCATGTATTTATGTATGTAGGGTAGGGCAGGTTCCGTTGATGGGGCTACCTCTTGGGTCGAAGCTTTCGCAGGGGCTCGTGCCGCGGGGACTCCTTGTGGGTGGCTCTGCATGGCGAAGCTGTTGATGTGAAACGAGGGTTCTTTTGGAATGCCATTATTAAAAACAGCTTCTAGAAGATGCCCCTGATGAAGACAGAACTGTGTGTAGTATAACTGTTGCAAGCTACCGTGGGTACCGCAAACCACGATTATGCTCATAGGATACTGTTAGTTGATATTGCAGGCACAAACAGTCCCCAGGATAGATAAGGAAGACAGCACCTCAGCAGGCCATGCCAGTCTAGACAGCAACTGATGGAAAGATAGAAAGGCGAGCTGAAAAATCAAAATTCTGGCAGGTGGTAGTGCAGTGTACTAGCAAATTATTCATTATCTGGGATTAGTTGTTCATTGAGCACGGCCTGGCGCTGAACACGACAGAGCAGTAGATTTCGTTATAGCGATACTGAAGACAGCTGGTACTGTGGAGTAATGAGGCGACGTAGCAGATAGTAACCAACTAGTGTCCACGGTCCGGACCGGTCTTGCAGGCGGCTTGTAAATGCAGTTGTAGCAACCCATTTTCTGGGGTACGTTGGCTTTCTAGGGTGTGCTAAAGGTAGTTAGGTGCATGCGAAGTTGTGTGTAGATTGGGTCAAGCGTCCTAAGGAGGTTTTTACTGAACGAATACAACGGTAGTGTATATAGTGCACTGTGCTCTCCTGGCTAGTGGGGATCCCACTTGCCAGTAGTTGCAGGAGGGAATGCTGCATATCGGGTGAGCGTGGCTCCCCTTGCCAAAAATTATGTTGCAGCTGTGCTCAGGAATCCTTGAGACGGGTTGGCACATTGAATGCTTTGGGGGGCGGGGGGGCGGGGGTATATTATATGCTGCGGCACAAGTGCACCGCAACAATTCCAGGCTGAAGACCCTTACTGGCACCAGAGCACGGGCACACACTCTGCTAGCTTAGCTTCAAGGGGGTGAGAAGCTTCGCTAGGGAGGGATGTAGGGGACACGGGCTTTCTACTTGTCTCAAAGTACAAGGAGGTCAACGACGGTGTCATTAGCAGCGTGGAAATACTGCTTGACATACATAAGAAATGTTGTAAATCAATAAAAAAATGCAATAAGTGCTTTTTAGTGGAATTGCTGCTTATTTCTTTAATATCCGTAAAGTTTCGTTGAGTTGGCCCACTCATTGGTGATCGCAGGAACACTCCCCACCTGCCGTACATTTGTCTCGTTTTTGCCTCCAAGTTGAAATGATGAGTACCAAAATACATGAAAACACGAAAACATTTCTTCAGCGACGTCCTTCAACTCCTTTCTTATGGCCACCACGCTGGTAGTCGTCGCTGAACAACAACAACACCTTCGACAGCTGCCTGGAACTCAGTTTCTTGCTACCGCCTGAAGTCTACGGAATTCCAATCACAACGTCGCATTAATTCCATCTGCCCTAGGAGGTATCCCTTCTTCTTTTCTGCTGGGGGCTCTTCTCGACTCCGAAGTTGTGGGTGTTCCAGTCCCTCATTCTACTTCGCGGTGCAGAAAGCGTCAGGTGACAGTCTCCAGATTATTGCGTGGCCATCCTCATTCTACTTGGCGGTGCAGAAAGCGTCAGGTATGGCCACGCAATAATCTGGAGACTGGGGTCTCCCTAGCAAGAATGTGAAGCATGTGACATTTCATGCACAAAAATAGCTACACCGTTCCTGTACAGCAATGGCGGTTCCCTGATCCTGCTGCTGTTTCCTGATTCCGCTGTCTGAACAACACTCCATTCGTAGCTAGCGGGGGAGTTGTTAAGATGGAGTGCTTCTCAGCTTCATCCGTTGACAATGCATTGTATACCTTCGACGAAGAGGCACACCGCCACTTGCTGCATTCCTTGCAACAGCATCACCAGAGGCTACGCCTCAATCCGCAGCATAGGGGTGTTCACAGCCCTGTGACCTTTACTGACGCCTGGATCGCAGATGTGGCGCTGGCCAAGATGATGGCCCATGCAGAAAGGGGGGGTAAAATAGAAGTAATGGGGCTCTTGCTCGGCAAGGCTGTAGTGACACCCGAAAGTTCCGATGACGGGCCGCTGCATGGTGCCACCATCTCGACACATTACGAGAGTATGTCTTCTGTCTCTGAGATGGATAGGGAAGCAGATAATCAACAGTCAGATCAAAGAGGCTACTTTGTTGTGACAGACTGCTTCGCGTTGCCCGTGGAGGGCACCGAGACTCGGGTGAATGCAGCAGAAGAGGCAAACGAATTCATGATTCAATTCCTAGAGGCAGCAGAAAAAGTACCCATGCAACAGAAGGTGGTTGGGTGGTATCATTCCCATCCTAACTACGGATGCTGGCTCTCAGGGATTGATGTGTGCACGCAGCAGCTGCAACAGCAGCATCAGGACCCCTTCCTTGCCATTGTTGTGAGCGAAAACCACCCATCCCTCCTTAGTAAAAGTGAAATGCCGCGGATACATCACGAAAGGGGATAGGGGCTGTAGGAAAGTATATGCATGTGATGACTTTCGCGCGCGTTTAGCACTGAAAATTCCAGAAGGGCGTTAAAGCCGTTGCGTGCGTGTGTATTTTCTCGATGTATGCGCAGGTAGATCCAATCCGAACGATATGCAACAGATCAATCGAGGTGAACAATTCTCACTTTTTCGCTTGATAAGCAAATTCTGGAAAGCTCAGCAGACAGCCCCCTAACAGTTATTCTGTATTCGTTCCGTTGCCTCGGATTTCCTTGTCCTCTGGAAACCTTTTGGATCCTCTTGCTAGACACCTTTTGAATGTTTCTTGATTATGCTTGGGCTCACGAGCCATATTGATATATCCAGTTGCTTTGTATTCTGGCTTCCCATGCGCTGCTCTTTTAGTTACGATCGTTTATCTTCTCTCAATTTGTTCCCGGTCCCTGCATGTTGGTACCCTTCTGCTTTTAGTGTGTTCACTTGTTTTTAGCAGACTTTCGGTGCTTGTTGCTCAAGTATCCAGTGTATCACGCACTCGATGGGAGTGTTACGCGCATTAGTATTTTGTTTCAGTTTGTTTTTCGTCCTGTTATTAATTGGAAGTGCTCGTTCGAACGCGTACAAAAGGGTCACTGCCAATCCAAATAAATAACAAGTTGCGAGCATGTATCGTCGAATGCAGGTTTTACTCTAGGTATAGGTGTATGGGATTTTACTGTCCACTAGACTGCTGAGCAAAGTTCTTGAATGTGTTTCTGCGGCTGTTTCTTTTAGCTAGGGGGGTTCAGAACTCTTTTGCCTGGAGAGGAGAAGAGGGATGACGCGGGAGATGCGGAGGCGGCGTCTTCGCAGCTGTTGCCTGCAGAAAAAGTGAATGATTTTGGTGCCCACTGGAAACGGTGAGGGTCGTGGCTCACAGGAGTCTGTGAATTTCACTTGCGCATCATCTATCATCAGTGAGGAGTCAGACAAACGCTGCTCCATTCTTGATGCACATTTTCGGCACTGCAAGCCTAGCGATACCAGCCACCCTGTAGAAGAATGCTTTGTAAATACGGGCATGCGTGCTAAACTTGTTGCCGAAGGGCATACAAGACAATACGCTGTCAAGCGCTTATCATCGTATACCCATCGCGTTCGTCGTCGGTCAACACATTTCTGTCTTTCCTGTCTTACGCATCTCTCCCTGTTGTGGCAGTGCCCCTTCCCCCAGGTTTTTGTTTAAATGTTGAAAATTGTGTATTTGTGTTGTGCTACTGTAGGTATTATCAGCTTCGTGTCCACTGGTGCGCCAATTCAATCAGTGCCCCACTGGTGGAGCAGATGTGTAGTGCTTCGTGGCCTCAACTTATTGTGGGCCAAAGCCTTGACCGGGTAGGCTTTTTTCTTCTGCACGTGAAGCCAACACTTGCGGAGCTTGAGTAGAGCTCCTCTCCAGCACAGACGTGCCGATCTGAAGAAAAACGGCTCGATGAATAGAACAAAAATGGCAGTAGCGGCAACAGCCGCAGCAGGCACTGCAGCACATCGTCGGACTCATTGTTCAGCACAGTGTGCTCACATATATTTTCTTTCCTGAATGCAGAACCGGTACGTCGAGCTTCGCCGGTTAGAAGCAATCGTTGAGTCTTGCAATGAGGCCATCAGCGCTGCTGAGCGCAGGTAAATGCTACACGTTTGCATGCTTACATTTACGTTCGTGCACACCACCGTGTAAGCGTCGAATAGTTGTTTTGTTACAGTTCAACATCAGTTTGTACGGAGGCGTCACGTGCAGTCAAGCACAATGGTGGAATCACAGACAGGCCACGATGTGGCTCGATTGTGTATTTGGTTCACCAAGAAGTGTCGACGCCCCTGTAAGTTGGTTTGCGTGCCATCCGTTTGTTTGTTGTTGCCCAGCCAGCCCGTGTCCATAGGAACCGCCAGTGGCCAAGACATGAGGGACCAGTCTGACCTTAGTGACAGCGGCTTCGCTGCTGAATATTCGGATGATTCAGAGTTAGGGGCTCCAAGGGGGAAGGGTTTGTGTGACAGACTTGTGGACACAGCAGAGAAAGCTGCAGATATCGCGGTGCGAGCTCTTGGGGGGCTCGTTGAAATTGCGGCCCTGGTAAGTCTCACTATAAATCCTACAACAACAGCATGACACTGCGAAGGCATGAATGAACACATGCAGGATAGCACTTCCACTTTGTGGTTTCCTATGCAGAGTGCAATCTACTGCGACAACACTACATGGCGCCAGCGAGCCCGCGCCTCCAGTAAACCAGATGAGGCACTATGTTCGGAAAATCAGTGTTAGCTTCTCTTGACGATCATGCAGGGCATGCACAGCTACTCACGTGCTTCAAATGGAAGCACCATACGAATAAGCATGCAGCTGTTAGCGGAGCAGGGAGCGATCCTCGAAGCGTGCTGCACCATATAAGGTGCATTCGCGGTGGAAGCTCTCCAGCACTGTGTCTGCATCTGACTATTTCTGGTTAGGCTATTCTATTATGTACTATGGGCAGAGACATGGCTGTGCATCTGACTACATCTTCCTTCCCCACTACCCGAATGACGCAAGCGAGTACACCCGCAGCCCTTCAGTTGATAGCCTGTGCTATCAAAATGCCAGTACAGCATCTTAAACTACGGACCCGACGTCTAGAACATGTAGATATCCGGCTGCATTAGATGTTGACCAGCTAACATCGTCGACAGCTATACGCGTTACGGACCTCCCGACTATATATACAAAAGAAAAACGGAAAGGAGTTAGGCACTGTCACGCCAGCCTCCGAAAGAATGCTTCGGTTGGTTTCTGATGCGAAACCTGCAATGCATAGTTTTAAACTGAATGTGCAGGCGGCCGTCCTGTGGGAGGCTGTGAATGGAGCCACATCACAGGGGCTAGAACGTGGGATTCTATGCATCCACACACCATAGGAAGCATAGGCGGCAAACGGCCGCTCACGCTCGCTCGCCTACTCGGCCCAGCTGCACGTTTTGGGACGCCGAATGAACTCATCTTGCTCCAATATAGTAGTCCACATTACGGTAACACCCCGTGGAGTTATTAAGAGGTATAACATAGAACGTCAGATCCCAGACGAGAGAGAACGAGAAAAGTAGCTATATAAACAGAGGTGGCAAGACCCCCGTAGAGCTGCATCCACAGAACTGCAGGGGGAAGGAATACCTCTGCCACAAAGCCTTCTCGCAAGGTGTGTGCACTCGCTTGAAACAAGGGCTCCTTTCCAAGAAGCGGCGCACACGACGACAGAGAATGATCCGCGGGATGTTAAAAAACAGCGTTCACACGCCACACTCCAAACGTGATAGGCCCTTCAAGGCGCAAGGGTGCCACACACTACTCCGTCGTTGGCGTTACCAGCGCCTTTGCTGCCTCCGTTCGCTCACAAGATACACCCCTCTTGTAAGCGTCAATTCGCGTATTTTCCCGTATCTGTTTACACGCCGGATTGCCTATGGTCATGTCGCGGTGGCTGTGTCGGCATTCGAAGCTGGTTTAGCGATCGTGTGGCGGCTTGCCAGAACTCTGAGCTGCCCATCCATTTGGCATTTTGGCCTCAGCAATGAACTCTGGGATGGAGTTTAGATGTGCCGCTTGCGGTTTCCCTTGTCGCTTCGATTCCATGCGTTTTGAACGCGCTAACTCAAGCGTGGAGAGGTTCCCCGTATCCCATCCGATGTTCACATCTGTTGGGGCCCCCCTCACAGGTGCCCCCATGCGTTTGGTCGGCTTTATCTCGTCGGATTCGAAATAGGGACTGTCGCCTGTCTCAACCGAAGGGCGGAATGATGAAGATCTGCTGAAGTCCCCAGGGGGTCCACTGACCATTTCTTGCTTCGACTGAAATGTTGGGGGGGAAGGACTGCAAAAGCAGTCTATCCACCATGGCATGCTCACGTGCTTGCGCAAGACCAGGCAGCCCAGTAAGCCCAAAAAGAACAACGTTACCGCGCCAACCGCAACACCTATTACCCAGCCAGGATACCCCTCCTCTCGCTGAATATAGTCTCCTGCTACGGAAACCTGCGGACCCATGATAGACACTCAACAAGCTGACAAACAGGTAACGCTATGAACGCAAGAGCAGTAATTGTGAAAGCAAGCATACATACGTTAGAAAAGTACGCTCAAATGGGTGAGTACAGAAGAGCAAGCACATTGGGTGGTGACAACTGAGGAAGAATGTCACGAGCTAGGCTCTATTCACGCCGTCTACTGTCTCATCCCACACACCCTTTACCCCCCCAACACATGCAGATAAATGCAACTCTCTTGGGTGCAATTCTCACTTCCGGGGGTTTAACTGGCTCAAGAAAGACGACGTTGAAGGTGCCTCGGGTTCTGCTCTTGAACCGCTTGTATATTTCCTCTGCTGTAGCCTCTGACTCCCTCCTTCCGATATCGTTCCGGAGGCCAAGAACAAGAACGTGGACAAGGAATCCATGCCGCTGAATCAGCTGATCAATCAGTGCTTGCTCGTTGTAGGATAAGCCACTACCGAACATGCCCATGCGAATCGGCTTTGCCGACCCAACCTTCATAGCATAGCCCATCACCCGAACCCTATCCATGCGCACGTGACGGGGAGTCGCATACGTAAGCGGTTGGACAAGGATAGCTCCCATAAACAATTCGTGGAACGAAGCGGCGTCTTTAAAGTGCTCTGAAGGCACTTGGAGCAGCAGATGGAGGTCGGGGTCGTATCTTGAATTCCCCCCAACCGCTATCTCTGCATACTGTAGGTCATTAAATGTCGAGTACACTACTTCTGCCAAACCCACACCCGGCAAAGAAGGGTCATCCTCCAGTCTTTGCTTGAACATACTGGCAGCTTTCAACGCGGAGATGAAAGTAGTGTCGGACTTCTGTGCCGTGATTGGATCCGCGACACTAAGCTGCACGTACATTTCATTTGCGTTCAGGTTCTGATTAAGGACTGTGACCACTCCTTCGGAAATTTCACTTCCAAATTCTCCCCTCTCTACCACCGCCGTGGGGCCTCCGCTACCTCTCGCGCGGTACGCCGTAACAAGCACATCTGGGAACTGCGCCTGCAGCACCTCTTCAGAACATAGCCAATTTGATTCAATTAAAAGCGCCATGCGAATGAGAACTTGTCGCACGCTTTCAAGGATGGACTTCTTCAGTGCCAGCTCAAACTTGTCTAGCTGTTCTTGCAGAGAAGGGTCATCTTCACTCTTGTCGCGCAACTGCACCAGCAGATCCTCCACCACCAAACGACTCAGCTTCAATATCAATATACCGCCCATCGGCCGGTCTGTGACTTGCGTGTTCGTCAGTGCGAGAAGCATCACCGAAGTCGTCGCTGACCTTTGCTCTTGCCGAAAACTCCTCTCCCATATACTCATCCAGTTGGGTATCGATAAAACTGCAAATGCAATCCGCATAAAACTCGATACAGCACGTCGACTCCGGATGCATGCAGGATCACCCTGCTGATGTATGTGATTATTTACTTATGAAGCCTTCACAGTGGGATGACGAAGAATGCATATAATCACTCAACGTTGGTATACGTGTCTAAATGCAGAAAAACCGTGCACACACTGCGTTGAAACCACGATGTGTTGTGAACCGAACTTGCCCAACTTGCTGCATTCATAGACCTCTACTGATGCCAGCAGAACAAGAACCGCCGTTCTCTCCGCTTACTGTTTGAGTAGGAGTAGAGGACATGCAGCTCCGACACCTGGTGGTAGACGTAGCCTATTGTGGTCATGCTCTCATCCAAACTCCACTTGAGATCCGGAATAAACTTGAGCATTTCTGCCAAATGCGGATCTGCCTTCTTCTCCTTCTTCACAAACAAGTTGAAAGATTCATAATCCGTCACTTCCACCAGTCCGGGTAGCTGAAAAACAGACGTGAAACACACAGCACACCACGGACCGAAACCAAAATGCAGTATACACACCGCAACCAAAGCAACAATCACGTCCCTCAGGTGATATGCGCATGCACACCCATCGGAAATGGTGGGGCGTTTTGTTGAATGAAGCAGTAGGCTATTACAGCAGTAGAGTTGACATCACAACAAACCTCACTCAAGCAAGCACCCCATTTTCCATTTCACCAGCACACGGAATTGTGAACACGTCTAGCGCCCATTCTGCCCCAAACCGACTGTGCCCTCAGCTTACATCCTCTTCAATAATTCCCTGAAACCCACACTCTTTTGCCCTTTTCACGAATCTTGCAATCTTTTGATTGGCGTCGTCGAGTTCACTGAGTGCGACGGATTTTGCAAGGACGACTTTGAAGAAGTTAGACGTTAAAGGCGGCTTCCAGTGTTTATTTCGGGTGTACATAGGCCAATATAAAGCACTCAGGAACAAAACCAGGAACTGTCGACGCCAAACCGGATCCGTTTTGAGCCGTCGGCAGTAGGAAGTATACAATATGGCCAGAGTTGCACTCAGTTCGTGTGGAGCGGCTGCAGCAAACAAAGACACCTCACTGCAATCATTGTTAGAAATTGACTCACGTACAGCCAAAACACACCGATGGGGTCTACCTAATTCTCTACATGAGGACAACCCCCACACACGCGTGCTCTCTCTGCACCCCCACAAAAGGCCATCACGTGAGGAGCATCTGTGTTCATCTACTGATGCGTGTCACCCCTTCACCCTGGAGCTGTCCCTGTGCTTCATCCTGCATGCTCCTCATGCCATTCGCGTGCGTTTGCATTGAACACTTTCCAGGCCTTACTCATGACAGGTACTGGTTTTCCCACTTCGTTGTTCGTGGGGAGATCTTGAGGCAAAGACCCCGTTGGCACTTGCGAAAAAAAGTCGTCCGAAAAATCAAACCAGGGCCCTGAGTGACCCGTTAGCCTCTGCTTGCATATATGCGTGCAGGACAAGCAACACAGCTCGACGAATTTGGTTCAATAAAATGCACCCGTACAACGGCCACACACTATGCCAACTGGAAAAAAAGGCAAGATGATGCAGCCAACAACCAGAAAGGATAAAGAGAGAACGATGGGACATCGAGACCACAATGCTCAAACAGTCAATAAAAATAACACGTAAAAGGACTGCAGGATATACCACCACAGAAGTGCGTTCTCCACGCCCCTGGATACAGGGACATGCAGCGGGAGTTAAAAACGGGAATAACAGAGAACCTCATCCATCCAACACTATCAAGCGTCACGCAGTGAGCTGTTCGAGATAGGGATAAGGCAGCAAATGGGCTGCGCAAACGACGGTTCTGTTGCCTCACCTGAGCTACGCCATCTGCACTCAGCACTCCCAGCGGGCCCATAAAAAGAATGCAAAACGCGACCATTATAGCCACGAGCATAAAAGCCGTGCCAGGTAAGCGGCGTATAAAGAGCCGACGAACACGACTTCCAGCCGTTGCTGCTACTGTTGGCTGAGGTGAATGGAGCCGTGGTGGCGCTGCTCTGCCAACCGCAGAGCAGCAACTCTTGGTGATGCCGCCGCTGCTGCTTCTAGTCTGGTCAGAATGACCATTGCACTCCAAGTGCCTAATTCCTGATGAACGCATCCATCGGCGGACTTCAGATGAGTGGCAAGTGACTATGTTGTCTAGTTCTGTTGACCGCATTACAGCTCTTTCCGTACTCCCTCTCAACTCTCTCATCTTGAATGGGAAGAAAGGAGTCATGCAGCCCTCCAAATAAACGACAAGCTGCCAACGAAGTTGACAATTCAAGGAGGCATCCCGGAAGAATGCCAAGGGGGCCTGTGAAAGCTTGTTTCTTGCTGCAATGCCGGTGGGACAAGCGAGACGATGGCTCGCTGCCTTCCTGTTCCACGACACTCTCTAAACAGCTTCAGGTGTGTCCTTCAGGAGGAAAGAAGACAAAATACAACAAAGTTCCAGGATGTCTCGCAACAGGAAGACGAACTCTGGTGTTTGCGAATTGTTGAGATGAGCCCAACTACGACAACGAATGGCGCCAAAAGGGAACCCAAGGGGTATACGAGCTTCAAGCAAGAATCATTCTTCTTGCTTTACAGTTAAAATAAATGTAAGGAGTTATTCCCCACGTAGAAAAGTCACCCTCTCACGCAGTCGCTCCGCAACACGGCAGACAGGAGGTCAGTGGCTCCGTTGCTGCTTCCGGAAGCTGATTCAACAAGTTGAGGAAAGTGAAGGGAGTTTCAGGTTAAGACAGGGGCACGCATGCATATTTAATTCATTATGGAGCAAAAACTCACTCGACAGGCAAACACAATCGAAAAGTCGCTGCAACCTTTCTGTCTGTTCAGCTTCCATAACCAGCGAAGTTGTGGCTGCTGCTGAGGCACGCGTTCTTTCTCTGTTCAACGACGTAGGTTACGCAGAATCGACCGTAATTACACATTTTCCAAAGCAAACCTCATTTTCTTTATGCGAATATGATGGGAACGTGGCACGGGTTCCCCCTGGAGATTGGAGAAGCCTCACACTGTTGTTCAGTCTGAACGTGCAATCTCGTCCTGCAACTTCGACGAGGGAACTCACGCCCCTTTCCGGTTTGTCTGAGACATTAAACATGTGTTGCATGAAACATATATTTGATTACTTGCTTGCTGAACGCTCTTAACATCTGAAAGCATGTTGTACTACCTGGTCGCATTCAAGACCATCGCCGCTCCATTTTGACAGATGGAGTAACGAGGGTCCTGGGACACATCTGAGGGCAATTTTGAGTTGCTATCGGGCCAAAATATTCAGTATTGTAGTATCTTAAAGCAACTGACTCCCCTTTTTAGTCTTGGCCTCAGCCGCCTAACCACGTGTCTGCGCGGGGAGAGGAGCTGGCCTGTCAAGAGTTGCAACGGACGTTGCTGCATTTCAGGGTTCAGGACATGCCCATACACAAGCACAAACAAGCATTCTTAGCTGTACTTACAACAACAGTAGACAATTGTAGAGAACTTCTATATACATACCGTGTACTTACTGGAGCCTGGTGCGGAGGGGTCCATGCACCGACTGCTGAGAGAATGGACAACATCAAACAGACAATGCTGCACGTGCCACATTCGCCACCTCGCACAATCAGCACATGTACTCGTGTGCCAATGTCGGCCTTGATTATGGCTGTATAGCCTTGTAATTCCTTCCTGTGTAATGCAGCCTAGGCAACCTTCGGCTGCCCTCGCTGCTCCCGTCGCGTCGTGTTCGTGCGGAGACATACCCAGCACCTGGACAACAAGTTGACTGCCGAGGCTACTGAAAACCTAGCTCCTGCTCAAAGCTCACAGAACGTCACACAGATCATTCAACGAACGGTCTGTCCCCCAGCCAGCAGTGCTATTTGTTTTTTCCTTATTCACCCCACACAAATAAAACGGAAAGGAGGAGAGGGGCTCTTTCACCGAAAAAGCACAGACACTGGGACGCAGCAAGCGATGCAGATTCTGTGGGACGTTCACTACTGCCTCTTATTGCAATACTTGTGGACAGTATAAGTGCTAAGCAAGGCTTGCTGCCTCTATACAATAGCAACTTCGATATTAAACGGACTGTTTGTAATATAGGCCGGCAAAGGAGTGGCTCAGATCCAGAGTCTGCCGAGTTTCCATTCGTGTGCGCCTTGTTAATGCCCGATGGCGACTGCTGCCGCTGCTGCTGTGGATTTACTTAAGTACTGCTCTCATATCGAGGACCTGAGACATTACACATTTTTTTGGCCGAACGGCCTCTACATCCAGTGCTGCTGTCGTGGCTGAGCCTTCACCACAGCTTGAAAAGTGAGAGCAACTGTACATCAATTCAGATTCGGAGCAATCCTCAGACTGAGAATGCCAGCCAATGACGGACTTGTTGCCGTTCCATGCTAAGCATGCAGCCCGTCGAGCCAGTTAGGCTACAAACCTTTGTTAGCAGCAGCAACGAAAGCATGCGCAGTAGCAACAAAAGAGGCGGTTCCACACTAGTAGCAACAGTTGCAGCAGCAGCAAGAACAAGAACTGTCGCAGCAGCAAGCAGCGACGCCTGTCCAAGCTTCTGCAGGAGCCATTCATTGCTTGGCTAGGCGATGTATCGTTCGAACTAACAGAACTACCAGCAGTGCCTGGTTAGGAGTGCCTAGTTCTGTTCAGTGTCAGTCTATGCCTCCTACAGGCTGTTCTGCTGCCTTTCGATCCAATAATGCTCAGCCTTCAGCCGGAACCGGCTGCCGACGTCCCGAGTGTTCTTGGGTTAAACGAAACAAAAAAGAAAACTTGATTGCACTGGAGCTCATGAAACACCCTAAAATGTTTCCGCAGGGAATCCCCATAAAACCAGGCCCCTCAAGTCACCACCCCGGGAGCAGATGATCCGTACATGCGTTGCTGCTCTTAGGACTCCATTTTCCTTGCTATCGGCGCTCTCCAGGAACTGTACATACACCACGACCCAACACAGACCGAAGCGGGCCACCAGGACGGATCAAACGAGGAGGAGACGGAGACACAGAATCGCAACGTCGCACCGAGGAGGATGGGAAGCAGAGCCAAATACAGTCAGGAACAACCGAAAGAGAAGAATAAAGGGAGGACAGAAGGACGAATCAAGCGCAGCCTTGCTTACTTCGAGGATCGCTTCATCTTGGTGGGGCGCAAAAGTTGCAGTTGCCAAAGTCCGCCAACGCAGGGCTTCAAACGCTTCGCCTCCTTTTATTTCTTCTGGCAGCGACAGCCGCAGCAACTATACAGACAGTGTCCAAACAAATTTAACAGAAAAAGCAACATGTGTGTCGCTTGCAGGACCTCGAATCCGCAGCTTCTTTGAGAGGAGCAGCCGTAGCCCTAAAACCTATGCCCTAAAACCCAGTGCCGTTCGAGATAAACCTCAAACTCTCAAGTAAACCCCGCAAATCCTAAGTCCTCGTAAACCCCAGTAACATTTAGACCCTACACAACACCAACCCCAACAAAATCTAATATCCAACAAACCCTTGAGCCCCAGTGAACCCTTGACAGCGGTGAATCATAAACCCTTGCAAACGTCAAAGCCCACTAAGCCACGAAACCTAGTATACGCCAAAAGCTACTAGACCCTAAACCCTAGTGAACCCTAAGTCGTAAGCAGCGCAAAACCCTTGATAAAGCGCACCTCGTCTGGCGCTTCTGTGCATTGGATTTCGTAGGTGGTGAGGGTTTCCTCTTCGCTTCCATTGTCTTGCGAACAGAACCGCCGCAGCTCGGCGTACTTCGGATGACTCCGAGCGGTTAGTCGCACAACCCACACCTCAGCAGCCCCCTGTTTTCCCTCAGACTCGGTGGTCTTATTGCCAATACCTAAAGCAGCAAACGCACTGCTGGTGCTGCTGCGGCTCCTGCAGTTGCTGCGCCTGCCAAAAAGCAACAAATCGCTGACATAGGCAATACCCTGAGACGGATTGCAGCAGTATGTAAAATAAAGTTGCTCCACGGGTCACGAGAATCTTCACCCAAATGGCAAGTTTCCAACAAAGTCTCCACAAGCACAAGCAAGGGGATCAAGGCACAATGCTAGCTGTTCCTAGAACCCGCGGCTATGCAGAGTTATGTGATGATGCACCTTGCAGCATCAAACTCCAGCAAACCATCCTCACCATCTGTTATCTGGGTCCCCGAAATTCCTCATCATTAGCAGTTCTTGCCTCATTTGAGATGCCCATACACCTGACTGTGGCCCTGAAATAACGGCAGCTCCCTGCAGCAAATTCGTCAGTTCGTGCAAGCCTCTTGAGTGCCACTGCTGCTGCTCCTGCTCAGCCTGCGTTCTGAAATCTTCTTCTGGGGCGCTCGGTGGCACCCCCAAGGCAGCCTGTCCGTATACCCTTAGGCGCAGCACTGCCGTACGAACACAGGCCCCGGCGCACTCAAAACCAGAGGAGGAATCCAAAGCCGTGGAGCCCGCGAAACGCCGCACCCCCAAACGCAGATGCGTCAAAGCAAGGCCCCGAACATCCACAGAAAAATAATTGTGATGAGCACGCAGACGATCCCCGCAGCCCAACACCGTCACCCAACCCGGAGCTGCAGCACATACACCCGAAAGCGAATGTGCACGAGCAACTGTAGCAACATCTGTGCAGCCGAACATGCGTGATGCTGGCATATATGAAGTACTATAGCAGGTGGAACATGTGCATTTGCAACCAGTGACAAAACAAGTGAGAGGTGCCGCTGTGTGTCTACTCAAGTGCAGATAAGCCCAAACAGAGTTCCGTTTCCTGTTCAGCTCATCCCCTTCCCAACGCACTCTCCGCTTCGCTCAGCTCAAGACTGCCGTCCACTGCAGGCTTGGCGCGCAAACCTTCTACAAAGAAGGGGGGGCCCTGCGAGCCCCCGGAAGCCCCTGAAGGAGTCACAACAGGGGGGCGACCCTGGGAGTCCGGAGAAGCCACCTCCTGTGCTGTCAGTACGTCGAGGCCATAGATGATAGCTGAAGACACAACAGACGCCGCAGACACAGCAACACACCAGCGCAGCTCAGGCAGAAGAAGAGAGGCTGCTGCAGCAGGAGGAGCAACACCAGGGACTCGATGATCCTCCAACAAGTATAAGATAGTCGTAAACGGAAACCACAAGCTTACTCGGCGCCGCGAGTTGCACAATTGTCCACTCTACACTCCCCACGTCCCCCCGGCACTCGGCAGCTGCCGCGTCTTGCAGCGCTTCCTGCAGCACGACAAACACTTAACCTTAAGCCCTAAAGCCCAAGTCCCACGCCATATACCTCCTCCCACTCCCCAGTGTCCCTTTCGCAAATACGAGCCGCTACTCTACCATCATCAGCAGCAATCGCAGCGGACCTGAGCCTCCTCCGGTGACGGGCTCCCTGCAAGGATTCGTCTCGATATGATACTGCAGGGGTCGCTTCGGCGCACTTCACAGGCACCCAGCTGCAGCAAACAAACGCACCATAGGCCCTGAACATTGATGGAGGCTCGAAGAAGGGTCCGTTGCTCTAGTAAGCCCTAACGGCTCCTGTTAGGGGCGGTGGCTCTGGCTGTGCGCTGGCCCAAGCACACAGCGACTGCCTTCGCCCTTGACTAAGTGCTCGCGACTAGGGTTTAGGGTTTGCGTTTGGGCTTTGTGCTTGTGTGTGCCGCAATATGTTTCGATGTTTGCCGTCTTGAGTGTTTGTGCTTCCCTACAAACTTATGAATCCCTTCACTGAGCCGTCTACTTTGTGTCCAACAAGTCCGTATTATTAACTCCATTGGTATCGATCCTCTACAAATGTGTGTATGTACTGCAGCAGATGCATGCTGTTCTGTGCATGTGTTTGGGTTTATGATTAATGTGCATTTCTGTGCGCTTACCGCTGCTCGAGCCAAATCCGGCAGCTTTGTGAATGCGGGAGGCAGCAGACAAGAGAGGGTTTCTATTAGCTCAGGGTTGAGCGGACCCACAGCAGACAGCAGCGCAGAGACAGCAAAAGTGTCTGCTAACCGCAAAGCCTTAACAGACAACCGAGAGAACTGCCGTCGCGCAGATGAATACAGCCGACGCCAGCCTGCCGATGCAGCTCGCCGACCCTTGTGGGCTATTGCTGCAGCTACAGAAGACCACGGGCTGCTGCTGCCGCCGCTGTTGCTGTGAAGGGTAGAGCTGCGCCGAGACCTCTTGCGGGAACTGCTCGCAGTTGAATGCCGGCGGCCTTCTGAAGGCGCCTCCGAGACAGTACAATGCCGCTGCTCTTGATGGTCCTGCTCTTGATGGTGCTGCTCTTGCTGCTGCTGCTCTTGCTGCTGCTGCACGAGTTTCGAGGGGCTTCTGGAGGGAGATGACAGCAGACCACTCCATTCTGGTCTAGGGGAAGACATTGTATTCTCTGGTTGTTCCCTTAACGACCCCTCAAAACGGGCCGACGATCCATCAATGCGCGTACTGTTGCGCTGAGACGAGACCCCGACAGGCCCAACAGACGACAAACTGCCATTCCTCTGCTGCTGCTGATGCGGCTGCTGTTGAGTGTCTGCCTCTGCAGCGGCAGGACCCCCTAGAGAAGATACGAGGCAGCGTGAGCCTTCTCCTGATGGAATGCGCAAACTGGTTGAGGTGCCCCTCGGAGACGCAGGGTCTCCTGCCTCGCTCAGAAGCTGCTGCTGTTGCCGCGGCTGCTGTAACTGTTGCTGCTGTAGATGTTGTTGCTGGGGCCGCTGCTGCTGCACTTCGGCCACTTGAGTTCCTCGTTTGGCTGCTGGCTGCTGTCCCTCCACAGCTGTCAAAGCTGTGGCGTCAGTGAGAAGGCTGGAACTGCTGCTGCTGCTGGCAGTGCAGGTGCTTGAGGTTGCACTGTTGCTCGTGCTGCTGCTGCTGCTGTTGCTGTTGGGAGGCTGCCCAAGCAGAGGCACCTGGAGCTCGACAGCCGCCTCTGCACTGACAGGAGAAGCGGGTCGGGAAGACCTCAACGGAGACCCCAGAACTACTGCTCCACCCTGCTGCTGCTGCTGTGGCTGTTGCTGCTGCTGTGGTTGGTGGTGCTGAAGCCGTTGTTCATATGCAGCAGCTAGCTGGGGAGGCGCTGCTGCAGTAGAGGCGCTCTGCCTCGGACTCCTACGACATGAGGAAGGCGTGTCGCTTCCACGTGGTTCTGCTGGAGGTGTCAAGCTTGTTGCTGCTGCCTGCTGCTGCATGGCCTGTTGCTTCTGCTGCTGCTGTTCATCTCCGCGCCCCCTATCAGCTCCCATCCCTTGATGCAGCAGCTCTTGCTGTTTGCTGTTTTGTTGCTGCTTGTCTTGCTGTTCTTCTTGCTGCTGCTGTTGGGGGTGGTCCTGTTGCTGTCCTGGTTGCTCTGCTGCTTCCCTGTACCGTTCCTGCTGGCGCTGGAGCTCCAAGTGCTCAGGTGTCTCTCCAGTTGACTCCTCATGCTGCATCTCGTCAGTGGGAAGACGCTGCTGGTGGTGACGTTGCAACTGCGGTCGTTGCTGTTGTTGTTGTTGCTGCTGCAGCTGTGGTTCCAGCTGCTGCTGTTCCTGCTGCCACTGATGCACCCGTCTAATTGGAGATTGATTCAAACTGCACGGAGACGCCGGTGGGGCTCGAGGGACATCAAATGAATACTCTCGTGAAGGTGAAAGGGGAGGCAGCACTTCAGAAGCAGCCGTTGCTGCACGTGCTGCTCCGATCTCCGTAGGTTCTTGTGTTGCAGGGGTTGGCCCCCTCCTGGCACCATCGAGCTCCATTGTTCCAGTTGGCCCTGCTACTCCTGCTGCTGCTGCTCCTGTTGCTGTTGTTGCTGCAGCCGTACTCGCTGCCGCTGGTGTAGGTTCTGCTGTTGTTGCCGTTGCTGGCCCTGGTGTTGTGGCTTTTAATGATGCTGCTTTTGCTGCCGTGACTGCCGCTGCCTGCGGTGTCTCTCGGGCCTGCACACGGCGTGCTTCGGGCTTGTCGGACGTAAGCTGCTGCTGCTGCTGTGGCCGTCTCTGCAGTCCAGCAGCAAAAGATGTGACTCCCGTGTTCCTGGAGGTGCTAAGAACGCTACTGGTGTTGTTGCTGCTGCTGCTGCTGCTGCTGTGTGAGACTGCGGGAGCCTCCTTGTCTCCTGCTGCCACAGCACGTGCAGCCACAGAAGCACGTGCTCGCGAAGCAGAAGCAGCAGGAGACATACCTGGGCTGGAGACTCCTGCAGCTCTGTGAGTGGCAAAGACTTCTGGGGAGGGCCTAGGGGCTCCTTCTACAGCAACAACGGGCGGGAAGCCAACCTGCTTGTCGGTTTGCTGCTCATCATCAGATTGTTGCTGCTCCAGCTGCTGCTGCTGCAACTTCTGGTACAGAAGCAGCGGTGAACGCAGCTCTTGCTGCTGCTGCAGTCGTTGCCCATGCACCAACAAAGGGGACAGCTGCTGATGGGCTCGTGATCGTGGAGACAATTGTTGCTGTTCCTCATCACCTGAAGCCGGCGTGGCAGCTGCTGCCTCTGTGGCCCTCGTTGCACGGGATGCAGCAGCAGCAGCAGCAGGTGAAGCAGAACGAGCAGCAACAGAGGCACCAGTTCTTAATGGACTTTTGCTGCGGCGACTGCGCAAGCTCCTCCGCCCCGAAGACAATGATGTTACGGACTGCAGCAGAGGCCCCACGTCCCCTCTGTAGCACTCTTCCCTCAGCGCGCGAAGGTCGAAATTGCTGCTGCTGCTGCCCAGGCCTAGCGGTGGGCCGTTGCTGGTGTTGCTGCGGTTTGCTCTTGTCTGATCGGTGGCAATGGCCACATGGGGCGACGCCGCAGCAGCTGGTGTTGGGGCAGCAACTGCTGCTGCTGCTTCTCTGCCTGCTGCACCACCTCCTCGATACTCCTCCTCCTCAGGTGAACTGACAGCAACCTCAGCATTAGCTGAAGGTGCACCGCCTTCAGGAGGGGGAGATGCAGCCACAGGCTGTTTGCCAGCTCTCCCTGGCTGCTGTTGCTGCTGTTGCGGCGGCCGCTGCTCTTTCCGGTACTCCTGAGAGCTGAGCCAAAAGCGACGAGCAGCAGCAGCAGCAGCAGAAGCACTGGAACCAGCTGGGGGACCCACACGGCGGCGCTTACTTGCTGCCCCCTCTTCTCTTTGGCCGGTAGCTCCTCGAACACGTGGCTCAACTTGACCACTCTCCCTTGCAGCTGACAGAGCTCCATTAGAAGCAGCACTGGGTGCTGTTGCTGTTGCGGCAGGTGTTGCAGCAGCAGCAGCAGGTGTTGTTGCTGCTGGAGCTGCTGGCGCTGCTCGTCCGTCCCTTCCTGCCACTGCTGCAGCAGTCATGACTGCTCCTTTTGGCTCTGGCGCTTCTGCTGTTGGGTCCCGTATGGCACTTCCTGCACTTGTTTCCGTTGCTGCTGCTGCTGCATCAGCAGCAGCAGCAGCAGCACCAGCACCATCGGACGTCCATATAGAAACGAAATGCCCCTCTCTATTTGCCTTGTCCTCTGACGGGGTGCTGAGGAGGTTTCTCCTCCTGCTGCTTGTTGGCGACAACAGTATTGACTGCCCTGCTGCTGCGGAGTCTGCTGCTGCAGAGGCTCTAGGGGACAGAAGCAGCAGAGGAGAAGAAAAGTTTGATGGTAAATATGATTGACGGCGGGTAGCATAGCTGCCTGGACTATAATGAGACAGAAATACGTTCTCTGTCTCTCCCTGCTGCACAGCCGCCTTATCACCGACATCAGGAGGCTCCTCTCGCCTCTCTTCTGGCATAGTTGCTGCTGCTTCACTGTCTACAGCAGCAACTACTGCTGCTGCATTTCCAGTGTCTGCAGCAGCCGTAGCTCCTGCTGCATTTGCAGCGTCCGCAACAGTAGCTGCTGCTGAACTTGCAGTGTCAGAAGCAGTATCTTTTGCTGCATTTGCAGTGTCTGCAGCAGTAGCTCCTGCTGTGTTTGCAGTGTCTGCAGCAGCAGCAGCTGCTGCATTTGCAGGCGGTGCTGCTGGTTCTGCTGGAGTTGCAGCAAGAACTGATGCAGGTGTTCCTATTGCTGCTGCTGCTGCTGTTATTGGTATTGTGCGTGCGTCTTGTGGCTGAGGAGTTACGCGGCTGGGGTTGATGGGAGCTGTACCTGCAACAACTTCCTTCAACTTCTGAACAGCCCCTGCTGCAAGGAGGGATTGTCTTGCTCTTTCAAATCCACTCCTGCGAGCATCCCTTCTTGGTCCTGATGCAGCTCTTGCTGCTGTTGCTGTTGTTCCTGTTGTTGCTGCTGCTGCGGTACCAGGTGCAGCAAAAGCGAGGCGAGCAGACCCTAAAGTGCGTTGGGCTGAGAGGGCCGCGGGAACAAATCGCTTTCGCTGCTGCGGCTTCTTCATGGCTTCGTTGTTTTCAGACTCTTTTTGCCCATCTTCGTTCTCCTTAGCGGAACCTGAGGAAGGAGAACCAAAAGACAAACCGCCTTCACCAGCAGCCTCCTCGCCTAGAAGAGGCCCCCCGTCATTTGGGTCTGTGAGACCCATTGCTGCACCTTCATGAAGGCCCTGACCAGCCTCCTCCAATATTTTCTGGGGTGCAATGGACAGGGGCCCTTTGCTGGCGGGAGGAACTGCTGCTGCTGCTGCTGTGGCAACTGGCATTTTGCCGCGTTTTGCCTAACAGCCGGATGGGGGCGGAAGGGTGAGGTTGGGTGGGTACTAAGCGGAGTTAAAAGACTCCAAATGAAACGAATAAATAGACAACTAGGATAAATAATGGAGAAAACAGCGGCGGGTCCCCTGTGTAACTGCAGTTGACTTGCAGGAGGCTTCTGGAACCAAAGGGGGGGGGAGTTCGGGGGCCCCTGATGCAGCTCTTCATTATTTGAACGAAGCAGCTAAAGAAATTAACATGAAAAACAGAGACTCAGGGATATCGAGGCAATCGCGAGACACCTGGAGGGGGCCCCTCTTCCTCCCTTCCCCAACGTCCGCCCGCTCGAACTTTCACTGGAAGTGCATGCGGTGCAGTGAAGCCATTCCTACAGATAACAATTCCAGTTTCAAGAAGTTCCAGACCAGGTAGACACCCAACAGCAGAGCTGCTGACGGGGGCCCCTCTTGGGTGGAGGGTAGTAGACCCCGGGCTGGGCTGGGGGTGGTGAGGTGGGAAGCCCTGCAGCCTGCATAGAACGGTTCCGGCTGCTGCTGTGCATGTGCAGTGTGCAGGGAGCAAAAGCAGGTGAAATGAGCATGAGACAGGCGAAATTCAGTGAGGAACACATTTGATCCCTCAATTATAATCATTTATTGAACAATTACTTCTCTCTGTTTGCCTTATTCCCCCTTGTTTCCTCACGTTAGAGGCGGCAGCCGCCCGCCGAGATCTTTTGGGTTTTAGCTCAAGATGGGGTCATCCGTGCAGCCGTCTCGCTTCTTAGATGGTGAGAATTAGAGCTTAATAACAAAAATAATAAAATATGTTAATGTGTTGTACATTTGTTGTACAGAAGCAAATTAGGCCAGACGCACGCCTGAATTTGCAATGCAGCATTCAACCATCATCAACCTAATTGCTCTGCAGTCTGATGATTTTTGTGTGCGTTTCAGCGGCCATTCTTGGCTTGTTTGCTATGTTAGTGTCTGCACTCTCTCTATATATGTTCGGCGAACTATGGAATGTTGCTCAAGACAAGAGATTCAGCTCCTGGCGCGTCGGCTTCGTCCTCCAGAAGCTGTTCCCCTTCAAGGTAGGTTCTAGGGTTTCGGGCTTAGGGTTTAGATAGTTCGAGGGTTTAAGGCGGGTCTTAGTCTGGATTGGGAGCTGAGCAAATGTTTATACTTTTAGTTCCCTGCGTCCCGTCGGCAGTAGGCTGCATGCACGTGAAGGACGCTGCTGCTCTTAAGAGTTGCTGATGGGCATAAGATGCTGCTGCATAGATATATGTATACTGTAGGGAAACACGTTGAGGGTGCAGGGTTGCGGAGAGGAAGTAGGCGAAGAAAGCGCTGTTTTTTCTGTTGATATCTTGCTGTTGCTGTTGCTGCTGTTGTTGCTGCAGAAGACTTTCGACATAAACTTGACGCACATCCTCCTCTTCACCCTTGCCGTCTTGATGCTGAGCCTGAGGTCAGTCCTTTTTCTTCCCTTCCTCCCGCCCCTTCCTACTCTATTGGAGTAGTGTACACCTGATTGGATATAATATACCTCTGTGCTTGCTGTAGCAGTGCACGAGTTGCCTCTATGTACGTGTATTGCCTTATATGCTGTGAGTATTTGCGTTGTTTCTGTTTTTATGTACGGACAGCATATACACATATTGTGCATGCAGTTGTGGACAAGCTGTAGCGCTCCGTGTGTATGTATGTGTTTGCATACAGTGTATATGCCTGCCCGTGCTGCTCCTGCATGCATTTAAGGCGCCTGTTTGTGTAGTGCTTGCTGCGTGACTGGGGTAGAGGTGGAGGGAAGCACTTGCTGTGTATAGACAGCGGAGCAGACATTGATGATTTAGGGTTTAGGGTTTGTGTGTTTATGGTGGTGTATAGGCCTGAAGCAACACCAGTTATTGAGGAAACAACAAACATCCGCCGTAGAGAGAAGACACAAAGAACAGAGATGGAGGATATGCCAACTTGTGCTGCTTCCTCCTCTGCTCCTCAGCATAAAGGAAGCAAAAAATTAAATTAAATAAGAAAAAATACGTTGGGTCTTGGTAGCTCATGGTGCTGCAGCCACATAGTGCGCACGGAAGGACCGTCGCAGGAAGGAGTTGCTGGTACAGCAGCAGCAACATCAGCAGCATCAGCAGCAGCAGCAGCAGCAGCAGCAGCTGCTGCTGCTGTGATGCAATTGTGCATTTGCAGCACCACGGCCCACGAAGAGTTTTCAGGCATACAGCAGCACGCCAGGTGCTGCTGCTTAATAGTTGGGGCAGCAGCAAGTGGTGGTGGGGTTGTTGTTATTATTGTATTGAAGGAGGAAATAAATTGAATTGTTTATTTCTATGGTGCATGCAGACAGTAATAGGATATTCTTTTGTGAATTATATACTGTCTGTAGCTTATATATTAATTAAGAGTCTGGATTTTCTTTTCTTCTTCTTTCCTCGTGGCTGCTGTCTGTCTGACGCATCCTCGTGTACAGAGGCCGCCGTTCTCTCTATGAACTCCAGACCCTATAAATCGTTATTTTTCCTTTTGTTGCTGCTGCTGCTGCTGGTACTGTTGAGGTGTACAGGTGCATGCGCATCCGTACACCCAGGGGCATATATATGCACTAGACGCAGCAGTATAGCGGGAGAAAAAAGCTGTAGGGGTATACAATGTTTATTTATGTTATCTAGCAGCGCAATATAAAGTACAACAAACAATAAAAAATAACAAATGGAGGCAATTGCTTATACTACTAGTCTGCTATTCTTGCCTGCAACAGGATCGGTGCGGTGCTGCTACTAGGCACACCAGCGCATGCAGCGATGGGAAGACACTCTGTCTTAAGAGGAATGCATGCAAATGCAGCAGCAGCAGACCAATGTGTTGTTATAGAGGTAATACAGATATAATATAGTTATTCAGCAGAGGCGATGTTAAAACTGCAAAAAAAAAAGAAAAAAGAAAAGATCTACAGACAAACAAAAACGCTTTCCTCCTCACGCCTCCGCTGTCTGCTTCGCTACGGACGAGTACAGAAATTGAAAGAGGTACTTTAACCCACCAAGGGGGCCCCAAAGGGTATACGGGCCCCTCCCCCATGGAGGTTCACTTATCCCTCGGGCAATAATGAACGGGGGCCCCCCCAAGTGGGCCCCCTGGGGCGCCGCCCACGAGGAATGGGGAGCACCCAAACGGCACCCAACACTCTTTGCGTGGGAAACCGCTGAACCCTCGCGAAGGCCTGGGGGCCCCCAAAGGGCCCTCCTCTTAGGGTCCCCTTAGGTGCCAAGGTACCCCTACCCCTGGGGCCCCCATTCTTCTTACGCGAGGGCTAAGGAGTTGTGTGTGGAGGCGGACTTCCGTGTGGCATAGAGAATTGAAGGGGCCCCAAAGGATCGATAATTTGCCACAGGTGCAACAGAAAGAGGCAAGAACGCAGTACGCATGCATGCATGCACATGCATGCATGCACATGCATACATGCATGCATTTACGGCTTCATCCATGCATGCATGCATGCATGCATTTAGGGCTGCTGTTTGCTTGTCTGTGGGCCACATAAGCCCATGTCTATATCCATCGTAAAGTCGTAGTCAATTGTTGGGACGACGCTCGAAATAAATTTGAGCAACACTATTAACGCCAAGTCCGGCCTGAATCAGCAGCAGCAGCAGCAGCAGCAGCAGCAGCAGCAGTAGCAGTAGCAACAGCAGCAAAAGAAGATGTAGCAAGTAACAAGAAAGCAGCGCCATGAAGGGGGAGAAGGCCACAGACCATAGGGCAACAGACACCGCATATATCCCCTAGACCCTAAACCCTAAACCCTAAACCCTCACTAACCCTAAACCCTTAAATAAACAATAAACCCTCTCTTTCCTCACCGAGGCTCGACGCCTTGAGAACGCCAATGATCAACAACCTTCTTCATCACTTGTGCGTGCCTGAAAACAAACCCCAAACCCTAAACCCTAAACCCTAATCTCCTCCCTCATGTCCATCTCTAGTACTTTATCTGCATCCTAAACCCTGACACAATGCTCTAAACCCTAAACCCTCTTCCCTACTCTTTGCCCCGCAAGCCCAAACGCCAACAGGCACACCGGCAACCGCTAGCTCCTTAAACCCTAGGGTTCCGTAAACCCTAAACCCTTACTTGCAAGGATGAATAGAGGCCGTAGGGACTCCCGTGCAAGGATGAGGGTCTACAGTCACTGTCTTAGCCGCATAGTCCGTGAGTATATCTTCAAAGATTTCCGCAGGAGTCAATGGGGTGCCGCTCTGTACACAAACCCTAAACCCTAAACCCTAAACCCTAAACCCTCATTGGCTGACGCCGGCAGAAATTAGAATGACGAATGACTGCGAGTCTCCTCTCTTGCTTTCTCCTGCCTTCCTCTGTGGCTTCTCTGCCTGTCTAGGTCTGTCTGTCGGTGTCTCCCTGTGCACATGCCCCTCTAAACCCTAAACCCTAAACCCTAAACCCTCCACACCTCATTATACCCAAACAACCAAAGCCGCGGCGTCTGGAAGTATTTGTCATAAGTAATGCTGAGGTCATACGTCCGTACACTCAGCACGTCTGCACCACACAAACCCCTAAACCCTAAACCCTAAACCCTATTCGTTAGACCCTAGACCCTAAACCCATCCGCTAAACCCTAAACCCTAACCAGCAAATCCATAACTTTCGTACCAGCATCGGGAGCTTGGCGGACGAAATACGATGTTGAGGAATCCGCACACGCTGGATCATCCTGCACCCAACAACCCCAAACCCTAAACCCTAAACCCTAAACCCTAATTTCCCTGGCGTCAAAGAATTCTCTCCTCCATAACAACCAAACCCTTCACCTAATGCCTTATTTATTGCATTACTTCTACGGTAAGACTTATGAATAAAAAAGGGTTTAGGGTCTACGAGGATCCGCGACCCTAAATGAGGGTTTAGGGTTTAGGGTTTAGACTCGCCTCGCAGAGAAGACTGTCCAGGTCCCTTAGATTCTTTAAGTCTGGCAAAGCGCCACCCTGCGAGCTCACACTCTCATCCTGCAAACCCTAAACCCTAAACCCTAAACTCCAAACCCTAAACCGCCAATAAATGCAAACCTCCATCAAACCACCCTCACCCCTGAATCGGGAAGAAGAGAGAGACCATCGGCTGAGGCACAGAAATCACAGGCCTAAACCCTAAACCCTAAACCCTAAACCCTTGCCTCTATACCCAAGACTCTTGCCTCTAAACCCTTATCCCTAAACCCTAAATCTTCGCCCCAAGCCCTCAGCAGTAAGTTACGTTTTATTAACCCTAACAAACAACCCTACAATCCCAAACCCTAAACCCTAAACCCTAAACCCTAAACCCTAATTTACCTGCTGAGACCTCTCGTGAGGTTTGCCTATCTGGCGACTCCCCCAACGAAACCGCTGGCTCGCTCTGCAGTTCATCAGGGTCTGCATCTATAGGCAATACCCAACCCTCTGCATCCTCTCTGGCCTACACCAAGTAACACACAAACCCTAAACCCTAAACCCTAAACCCTAAACCCTAGACAAAGATCTTACACTATGCGGCCTTCGTATAATGGTATACATCCTGTGCTTTTTTGAACTATTACATACAAAACCCTTCCCCTTTCCCTCCAGGAACCTCCAAACCCTAAACCCTAAACCCTAGACCCTAAACCCTAAACCCTAATAATTATTACCTCGGAGTTAAGGGAGGCCTCTATATCTCGTACTCTTCTATGGCATGCAACTCCTCTTGTAACAAGAAATTGTTTATCTGGCGGTAGCCAACTGTTTACCCTTTTGCCTACTGCTGGCTCCCTGAGGTGTACATACACCCCAAAATAACACAAAAATTTACCTGAGGTGCCTATACACCCCAACCATGCAATATAAGCAGCAAAACAGCAGCAGCACAAGAAGCAGCAGCAGCAGCAACAGAAGCAGCACAACCCCTCATCAATTCCCCTGAGGGTTTCCTAGACCCTAGAGAGGAAACCCTCCCCTTCATGACCCCTCCCAAACCCTAATAAACCCCCAACCCCCCCCAATAAACCCTCATAAACCCTCGTAAACCCTAATTAAACCCTAATTAAACCATAATTAGACCCTAATTAAACCCTAATTACCATTGCCATGTAGGGAATTTGAATACAAGTAGATCCCCTGCATCTATAAACTCTTGTGGTGTCATGGTCCCCTTATCTACGAATTGGGATGTCTGGGGTACAAAAGAGAAACGAGAAAGAATACTTCTTCCTAAATCTGCTAATCTATGACTAACATTACTCCCTCCTCCTCCTCCTACTCCTGCTGCTGCTGCTGCTGCTGCTGCAGCAGCAGCAGCAGCTGATGATGATGATGATGATGATGTACTAGTTGATCCTGTTGATGGACCTGCAGCAGCAGCAGCAGTACTACGGCCCTTTGTTCCTTTGTTATCTGCCATTCTTATAGACAGAAAAACAAAGAAATTTATGGTGTATAGACACCCCAATCAATATAAACCCTGCAACACAGAAAAAAAAGCATATAAATATATGTACGTATATATATGCACGCATGCATGCATGCATGCATACATGCATACGTATGTGCATGCATATATATGTATATACATATGGGGGACGTGAAGCTTCCCCTCCAAGGTCTCTGTGTGCGTGTGCGCTGTTAGAAGCAGCAGCTGCTGTTTGCTGCTGCTGCTGCTGCTGCTGTTGGTGCTGTTGATGCTCTTGCTGCTACAGAAGCAGCAGCAATGAGGATACAATGCATGCGCGCCAGTTAACACCAGCAAAGCTAAAGAAGGCGAATGCTCTCTCGGCCTTTCTTGCTGGGGCCCTTGGTGCCGCAAGAGGACACAAGATTACACCTGCTCCTGCTGCTGCTGCAGCAGGAGCAGGACCTCCAGTAGCAGCAATTGTGTTAATAAGCAACAACAGCAACAGTATGCAGGTTCTGCTGCAATGTGCCCGAACTCACCGATGAGACGATGCAGGGAGAGAAGATAACGAGGAGGGGGCCCCCACCTGTAGGGCCCCTAGAAGCAGCCCCGAGGCTGCGAGTTGACAGAGTCTAAGACGTGGTGAAAAAGACTCAAAGGAGAAGTAGAAGGCGGTAGAAAGCAAGAAAATGACACAGGGAGGAAGGAAACCTTGACGGCAAGTCGATGAGGGAAGGGGGTTCTGCGGCGAGCGACCGTCGGAAAGGGTGGAAAGCGGATGAAAATACAAAGATAAACTAAAAATATAGCCTTTTAGGTATTAAATTATAGAAACAAAACGCAAAAATAAGAAGAAAACAACAGACAAGTACGCACAGACCAACGCCGCACGCGCGCGCGAGGAATCCGAGACTGAGGTGTCTGTACACCTGACGCCTTACAGAACAGCCTTAACCTATTTTGTGTTTTTGTTGAGATAAATGAATATAAATTTCACGAAGTTCAATAATAAATAAACACGAAATACACCAACCAGCCCCTCTGCTGTAGCGCGCAGGGTACACCGCGGTGGAGCTGCTGCGCGGGGCTCTACACAAAGCGGCTGCTACAGAGGCGGTAGCTCCTTATAAAATCATTTATAAGTAAACAATTAGTAAAATATAAACTAATTGAAAGGAAGCACACAACATATTTTGCCAACATCTCTCTTTCTCCCTTTACTTCCCCAACCGGGCGTCACCTACACTGCCACCCACCGGTCCACCTGTACGCCACCAGCCGCATTGAGGTGTACATACACCTCAACAAGAGCTATTATTAAGTTATTAGCCTCTGAGGGTATATACCTCCCTCTCTTTGTTGTTGCTTAGGGTGTCTGTACACCTGAATACCGCCATGGTCGGTGTGTGTCGTATAAGCAGTGGTAACTTTCTTCTTATGAGCACATAAGCTTCCCCCCTGCTAGGACAAAAAGCAGCAAAGTTGCTATTAAATAAACAATTAAAGAAGAGGAAGAAGAGAGGACCTAATGCAGCAACCAACAGAAGAGAGGAGGACGTCCTCTTCTCCTCTCCTCCCCCCTCTCCTTTGGATACTCTCCTTGTTGCTAACAATTGGGGTGTACGTACACCCCGTTGTTACGCATTTGTCACCAGATGCTGCAAACTACAGAGCAACAGAAAATCCTGTGGAGGTCCCTCTTACCCCTGTAGGGGTACAGGTGCGCATGCAAGTTATTATTATTATTCTTTTTCTTCTTTTATTGTCTCCTTTGTTGTCTCCTTAGTATAATAAATAACAAGAAGGAGTTAAGGAATAATAATAAATAAGAAAAAAAAAGAAAAAAAAATAAATATAATAATAAATAATAAATAAAAAAAGAGGGAAGAATATATGGCGATTAATTCCTCTGTAGTTGTAAACAGTAATCGGATCAACGAATCAGTTGCTGCTGCTGTTGCTGCAGCAGCAGCAGCAGCAGCAGCAGCAGCAGCAGCAGCACTATTAGGAGCAGCACAAGTAGCAGCTAAATATCTTTCTTATTGTAGATTTAGGGGCAGAGAGATAGGGAGAGATGACCACATTAGATTCTTTGCTGCTGCTGCTGCTGTTGCTGCTGCTGCTGCTAGCGCAACTGGTTCTGTAGTTATAGAGGTGCTGCTGCTGCTTCTGCTGCTGCTGCCATTGCTTCTGCTGCTGCTGCTGCAGCTGCGTCTGTACTGTTAGTGCTGCTGCAGCGTTGCCCTTACAACAGCTGCGTTCAACACCTATACCAGCATCATTATCATCATCTGCTGTTGCTGCTGCTGCTGCTGCTGCTGCTGCTGCTGCTGTTGCTGTTGCTGCTGCTGCTGTTAGCATGCTACACATAAATGGGGAGAAAAAGGACATCGATTGACAGTTGGCTTCGATACACCGCGAGTGCTGCAAGGCGCAGCCTTTCAGGTGTCTGTTGAGGTCGACTCCCAGCTTGGTACGTCTTGCATGCACTGCAGCAGCAACAGCAGCAGCAACAGCAGCAACAGCAGCAGCAACAGCAGCAGCAGAAAGTATCTGATCTCCTACTACCAAGATGATGCAGCTTACGAACCCTTCCTACCTCTACTGCTACAACAACAACAACAACTACTGCTGCTGCTGCTACTGCTGCTGCTGCTGCTGCTGCTGCTGCTGCTGCTGTAATGTGTGGGGTTGGTGCTACAGTGGAGGGACAAGTTGAGGTGTCTCCTCGGTTAGTGCGCAGCACGAATTCCCTTCGTGAGGAAAAGGAGACAGAAGATTTATATTCTTATATAGAGTCTATAGGGGAGGGAGGAGCAGCAGCAGCAGCAGCAGCAGCAGCAGCAGGAGATAGTGATGCTGAAGATGCTGCTGCTGCTGCTGCTGCAGCAGCAGCAGCAGCAGCAGCAGGATACCAACAACCAAGACGTAGTCTTAGTGTTATAGAGGAGACAATAGACAGCAGCAGCGGGGGATTTCCTCCCTTATTACCCCCAAGAAAAAAAAGGACAGAAAAAATAGGGGAAGGAGACAGTTATATAATAGATAAGGAGACAGATAAGGAGACAGATAAGGAGACAGATAAGGAGACAGATAAGGAGACAGATAAGGAGATAAAAAAGGAGAGAAAAGGAGGAGAAAAAAGGAGACTACAAGTATGCACAGATGAGGTATCTACACAAGAAGAAGAAAAAAGAAATAAAGTATTAAAAAAGGCAGGATTTAATAATGACATGGTATGTGACGTAGAGGGGACAACAAGAAGAAGAAGAAGAAGAAGAGAAGAAAAAGAAGAAGAAGAAGAAGGAATAAATAAAAGAGAAGAAGAAGAAGAAGGAGAAGAAGGAGAAGAAAAAAAAAAAAAAAAAAAAAA